ATATTAAATATTTAACTCCTTGCTTTTCATATTTCAGAGTGCTAAACATATAATAAATCTCAAATGCTTATTAGTCTTCTAAGAGTTGTAAAGGAGCAGTACAGGTTAGAATTTCTTAATCTGAAGTCTTTAAATACTTTGAGATTTATGAGAAGGTTTTATGAATCTGTTGAGATTGTTGGCAGGTCTCTGAATTCTAAACTTTTTGGTGTACTTGAATTGGAGGGAGTATCTATAACTTTGGTTGTGAATAAGACAGATTTGATCTCTACTTTGCTGGAGATAGTATTCTTTTATTTAAAGTTGTAGGTGAACACAATACCTTTATTTTATTTATTTATTTTTATGTGGTGCTGAGGACGGAACCTAGTGCCTCATATGTGTGAGGTAAGTGCTGTGCCATTGAGCCACAATCCCGGGCCTCCTGGAGATAGTATTCTAATAGGAGAAAATAGACTTTGAATAACAAAATATGAGTAAATTTACAGATGGCAGAAATGTTTCAGAGAATTTAAACGTTGTGATAGAATGAGAGTAATAATAAAGATTGTTAGGTAGTATAAGTGGTCAGGGAAAGCTGAGAAGTTGACATTTTTTATGCTTTGGAAATTACCAAGAGTGGCTGACATTTTTTGTGCTTTGGAAATTTCCTAGAGTGGCCTTTGATTCAAAGATTAACAGAATAGTTAGCACTCAGATCCAGTGATGGGGACAGTGTTCAAAAATTAAGTTGGAGTGACTCCGGAGGCTGAGGCAGAAGGCAAGTTTGAGACCAGCCTTAGCAACTTAGTGCCTGAGGCCCTACACAACTTAGTGAGACCCTGTCTCAAAATCAGAAGGGCTGAGGATGTAGCTCAGCGGTAAAGAGCCCCTGGGTTAAAAGTAGTTTGAGAGATAATTAGAAGTCATATCATTCAGGGCTTTTTAAACCAGAGTACAAAATCTGCATTTTATTCTGAATATAATGAGAAACTGTTTCAGGATTTTAAAGTGGAAAATGATGAGAAAAGAAAACTCAAGATAAAGCCCTTTCGAAATTTAAGGGTTCAGGGGGCTGGGGATGTGGCTCAAGCGGTAGTGCGCTCGCCTGGTGTGCACACGGAGCTGGGTTCGATCCTCTGCACCACATACAAATAAAGATATTGTATCCACCAAAAACTAAAAAATAAATATTAAAAAAATTAAGGATTCAGAAAAATAGCAAGTGAATTCAAAAGAAGAGGAATATGTTGTTCATAACAAGGTGGTGAGAGTAGCTGTTTCATCTTTTTGAGAATACAAGTAAGATTAGATTAACCTGACCATTAGATTTGGCAACAAGTTTGTCAAAAGGACCTAATGGCTGTGAAGTCAGTAGCTGTTAGAACAAAATGCAGGTTTGGGACGATTTATACCAACTTTACTGTCTTATATGGTTTATTTAATGAAACTGCAAGTAGTTTTCCCTTTGTTATACGTTAATCTTTAACCTGGGCATAGTGGTATGAGTCAAGAGTTTGGGTTTTGAGCAAGAATATCTGAGTTAATATCTGCCTTTTTAGCTTATTCAGTCTTCCTTCCTTCCTTCCTTCCTTCCTTCCTTCCTTCCTTCCTTCCTTCCTTCCTTCCTTTCTTCCTTTCTTTAGAGAGAGAGAGAGATAATTTTTTTTTAATATTTACTTTTTAGTTCTCGGTGGACACAACATCTTTATTTTATTTTTTATGTGGTGCTGAGGATTGAACCCAGCACCCCGCGCATGCCAGGTGAGCGCGCTACCGCTTGAGCTACATCCCCAGCCCAGCTTATTCAGCCTTTCTAAATCTCCATTTCTCTTACCTGCAAATGGGATAATATACTTATGGATTTACTCTGTGTGAAGCATTTAGCATAGCGTGTGGTGCATGGTTGTATGAATAATAAAAATTATAATGATATGCAATAAAATATATTTGTGCTCTTTGGAGTTGGTATTGTTTATAGGAATAAAGTACTGTTTTCCCTTTATAAATAATTCCTGTGGATGATGCGTTAGCAACTTAATCAGCTTTTTCAAACATCATGAAGTGTCCAGCTCTCATTTTGAATATATCTTCTAAACACCTTTTTGGCTGTTTAATTTTGAGCCTGTTATAACCCCATGTACCAATGTAGCATTTCACTCTACAAATAGATATAGATTTTTCTTTTTTAGCATCTAGAAGACAGTCTCAATTTATCGAATAGTAATAACTATTTTAGTGCTTTATTAAAGAAGTCAAAATATAGTCAGTTTCACAATTTACTCTTAGTGTTGTGAGATCCATTTGGATATATATGCAAATAACTAACCAGAATTAAAAACAATTTGAGAGCTTTCTATAAAATAGTTAAATATTTTTTCATTTTGGAACTAGGGGTATCGCTTGGTGGTAGAGTGCTTGCCTAGTGTGTGCAAGGTGCTAGGTTCAATCCTCAGCATGGGCCGTTGGGGCTGAAATGAAAATAGACAGTTAAAAAAATTTTAATTTTTGTTGGTGATCAAACCCAGGACCTCACACCTTCTAGTCAAAGCACTATACTGTTCAGCTAAACCCCCAGTCTCCAGTGTTCATTTTTATTTTCTAGTAGCATACATTCTAAAAACCCAAACAAAGTTAAGTTGATTTATTTATAATTTGTGGTACTGAGGAGTGAACCCAGGGGCATCTACCACCAAGCTATAGCCCCAGCCCTTTTTWAAAAAACTTATTTGTGACAAGGTCTGGCTAAATTGCCGGTCTGACCTCTAACTTGCAATATTCCTGCCTCACAGGCCTCCTAAGCAGCTGGAATAACTAGGATTATAGGTGTGTGCCACCTTAATTGGCTTACCCATAATTTAAAGAGCCTGGCACATAATAGTGCTTGTCAATATTTGTTGAATGAATGTACAAAAAGTTTTTAGCATACATAATAGAAACCATTCTCTCATCAATAATGGGCTTCTATTCAAGGTTGAATAATTTCAATAAAATGTGAATTAAATGTAATACTTGAAGAATAACAAGTATAAATAATTGACTTCTGTTTCATTACACTTCAAATGATTCATCTTTGTAAGCAGACTATTGAGCATAATTAAATCTTTAATGAGTTGTAATACTATTGTACTTTATTCTGAATGTCAGTTCTCATTTTTTAAAACTACAGTTATTTGTAAATGTAGTATGTAGTGGGTATTGTTTAAAATATGTGTTAGAGGTTTCAGGTTGGGTTTTATATTTATTTGAAGAAAACTTTTGATAGACACAGTGATGAATTTTTATGATTCGTTTTTCATTAGCCCACCAAAAATAGATCAATAGTAAAATTGAACTGCATATGAGTTCTGGTTAATAGTAATTGTTCTGATTCTTAAATTTGGAGATTTGAAAAATCCTTTTTTTTTTTTTTTTAAATAACATCTACTGAACCGCTTCCCCAGCCCTATTTTGTATATTATTTAGAGACAGGGTCTCCCTGGGTTTCTTACCACCTCACTGTTGCTGAGGCTGACTTTGTGCTTATGATCCTCCTTCCTCAGCCTCCTGAGCTGTTGGTATTATAGGTGTGTACCACCATGTATTGCTTCCTAGCTATTGTTAATATTTTATTTAGAGACAGGGTCTTGCTAAGTTGCTGAGTCTGGCTTTGAAGTCACAATCCTCCTGCCTTAGCCACCATTATGTAAGACTATTAGGAATGTGTAAACCTTAAAAATAAACCCTGAAAAACTTCACCATCTCTTTATTATTAAATTATTTATTTATTGTAATTTATTATACATAATGGCAGAATGCAATTAATTTCATATTATACACATAGAATACAATTTCTCAAGTCACTGATTGTACACAAAGTATTTTCTCACCATTTGTGTCCTCATACATGTACTTAGGGTAATGATGTCTACTCATTCCACCATCATTCCTAGCCTCTTACCCCCTCCTTTTCCTTCCCTCCCCTTTGCCCTATCTAAAGTTCCTCCATTCCTCCCATGCTCTTCTCCATCACCATTATGTGTCAGCATCCTCATATCAAAGAAAACACTTTGTTTTGGGGGGGATTGGCTTCTTAACTGAGCATTATAGTCTCCAGCTTCATCAATTTACCTGCAAATTCCATGATTTTATTCTCTTTTAATGCTGAGTAATGTTTCATTGTGTATATATACTAAAGTTTTCCTATCCATTCATCTACTGAAGGACATCTAGGTTGGTTCCATAATTTAGCTATTGTGGATTGTGTTGCTATAAACATTGATATGGCTGTGTCCCTGTAGTATGCTGTTTTTAAGTCCTTTGGGTGTAAACTGAGGAGTAGGATACCATCTCTTTTTTTCTTATTAATATCACCAAATTCGATGATAAAATATTTTTAAGGTATTTTTAATTTTAGGCCAGTTTTAAAAGGCCTCCATTGATTTATAGCATACATAAAGTGAAGAGCTTGATAAATTCTCACAACTGAACACTCCACACCCATGTAACATATTCAGATCAGGAAACAAAATATTAATAGCCCCCTCCAAACAATTACTTTTTTCTTTTTAAATGAAGCTTATTTTTTTTTTTGCACAATATCTTTGTTTATTCATTTTTATGTGATGCTAAGGCTCGAACCCAGTGTCTCACATGTGTGAACCTCACAAGCGCTCTACCACTGAGCCACAACCCCATACCCCCTGGAACAGTTACTTTTAAAATATATGCATATATAAAGTCAGAGACATGGATCAACTTGAGAAACATAGGTCCTAGATCTAATTTTATTACTAACTTTTAAAGCATCACCTTAGGCAAGTTATTTCATCTTTCTGTGGGACTAGTCCCCATTTCTAAAATGAAGGAATGAGACTAGACATTTTTATTATGGCTTTAATTCTGTGAAAGTGCAAAAAGATGGAATACTGTGCTATAAAACTGTTATGAGAAGTTRCAGGGTGGAGACTGCACTTTTGACTTCAACAGTTGAATTGACATGAAACATACTCTAAATTTTTTTATTTTTCTTTGTTTTCCAGGTTATATTTCACACTATGTGCTGACTGTATCTACAGAAGATATTTAACAAAAAAAAAAAAAAGATAAACTTTTTTCAAAGATTTTGATTCCAGTGGAATCTTTGCTTTAGATTTGTGTGTGTGTGTGTGTGTGTGTATTAGTGAATTGTAACTCCAGAAGCAATGCCTGTACAAGCTCCACAATGGACGGATTTCCTCTCCTGCCCAATTTGCACTCAGACTTTCGACGAAACAATTCGAAAGCCCATCAGTTTGGGCTGTGGCCATACTGTCTGTAAGATGTGCCTGAACAAACTCCACCGCAAGGCTTGCCCATTTGACCAGACCACTATCAATACAGACATTGAGCTCCTTCCCGTGAACTCAGCATTGCTGCAGCTAGTGGGTGCTCAGGTAAGATGGGTGACTTAATAGTTTTTAAATTGAGTGTGTGTGTGTTTGTGTGTGCACATGCATGATCTTGACAAAAACTTGTTGAATTAGAATTGAATAACATTGTCTTCTATTTAAATAGATATGATGCTTTTTTGTACTATGTTGATCCTTTATTTCAGTATATTACAAGATACACTAGTAATTCAGTATTTTTCATTCATAGTATTGAAATGTTCATTTATTCTTAGATTTTTTTAAGAACCCTAGCTATTCAGATTACTAGAGAAAGAGATAAGTCATAAGGAATTTTTTGCACTGAGGAAAATACTATTCATATACCCTTGCACTGAATTAATAGAAGAGATAAAGCTGCTTCAGGCAGTTTTACATATTAGATACTAACTGAAATGATGAAAAAGGTGACAAAATCAACAGAGCACAGCTTTTAAGAAGCACTTATTTTAAAGAGGATCAAATATCCCTGGTTAGCTACATTTGGAAGTTAGTCTGGTAATTCTGAAGGTAATACTTCGAAAGTTTTATGTAAGTGTTCTCAAATTAGATGATGGGATAGTGGTGCGCCCCCCACCCCCTCGCACTCCAGGGAACTGGGGATTAAATTCAGGGCTTCATGCATGTGAGGTAAGCACAATACTACTGAGCTACATTCCCAGCCCCTAGTGTTCTCAAAGGTCATTTTCCTCACAAGATTTAAAGACAAGTTTTTGAGTGTTAGATATGATTCATTTAGATAATTCTTCACTATTGATTTGTTCAGTGTAAGTCTGAAGTCCCATATATTTAGTATAAAAGCTTAATCTTCTGTAAATTGCTAAAGTATGACAAAAATTGATGTCATTACATGTGTCGAAGATAAAGAGAGCTATTCTAGGATAGTTTATTCAAAAGGAAACCTTTATTTATATGCCTATCTTGATATTACCACCAGCACTACTAAATATTTATTAAGTGCGAAAGTACAGAGCCTGTCTTGGTGACACATAGCCAGTAATATCAGTTATTCAGGAGACTAAAGCAGGAGGTTTACAAGTCCAGTCTGGGCAATTCAACAAAACCATGTCTCAAAATAAAATAAAATGGGCTGAGTATTTCTTACTTGTGGGAATGAAAAATCTAACAACCACTTTAGAAGACAGTTTGGTAGTCTCTTATTAGTTTAATATTGATAATTGCCCAACTAATTTGAAAATATGTTTACACAGAAACTTTTATTTGACTATTATCTCAGTGGTTGAAGACTTGCTTGGCGTTCAGGAGGCCCTGGGTTCAATCCTTAGTACCACAAAAAAAGAATAACCCACTGAATGGAGGAAAATAATACTAAAATCATATAAGGGACTTATATCTAGAATATGTACGATTTTTAACTCAATGTTTAAAAGACAAGCCAGTTAAAAATGGGTGAAGATCTACATAGACATCCCAGTAAAGAAGAAACAAATATGGCAGATGAAAAGTTTCTCACATTAGTAGAAGAAAGGAAATAAGGGGAGGAGGGAAAGAGGAAATACTGGGCAATAATATTGGCCAAATTATATTGTTATATTGTATGCATGTACAAATATATAACAAATTATACCAATGTGTACAACTATAATGCACTAATAAAAATAGGGAAAAAATTGCTAACTACTATCACTAGGAATAGCAAATTAAAGCAACTGCTCACAGTTTTTCATACCTTTGCTTACCTATTTGAAAAACCAAATTCTGAAACATGGACAACAAATGCTGAAGAGAATGGAGCGACACAAACTTTTATTTTTTACTTGTAGGAATGAAAAAATATAACAACCACTTTAGAAGATAGTTTTGTAGTCTCTTATTAGTTTATTATTGATAATTGCCCAACTAATTTGAAAATGTTTACACAGAAACTTTTATTTGACTATTTACACCAGTTTTATTCAGAATTGCAAAAAAAATGTAATCAAAATGTCTTTCAATAAGCAAATGAATAAACATTGGTATATTCATGTAATTAGAATATTGTATAAAATGAAATAATAAAAGGAAGTAGTAGTTAAGCCACAAAAAGACACAGATAAACCTCAAATATATGTTGCTGAGTAAAAGATGCCACTTTGAAAATCCTACAATACTGTATGATTCCAAATATGTGATATTGTATACAAAATTAAAAATCACAATAAAAATATCATTGGTTGCTAGGATCCAGTAGGAAGGCAGGAGGATTGATGAAAAATAGGGTATTTCTTAGGGCAGTGAAACTATATGATTCTGTATTTGTTGGATGTATGATATTCTACATTTTTCAAAAAGAGATTTTAACCCAGGGGCGCTTTACCACTGAACTTCATCCCTGGCCCCTTTTATTTTTTATTTTGTGACAGTCTCACTATGTTGCTGAGGCTGATGTTGTCTTGGGATTCTCATGTCTCAGATTCTCAAATCACTGAAATTACAGAAGTGTGCCACCACACCTAGCTAAAACACAAAACTTTACAAAGTTTATGGAGAACAATCTGAAATAAATGAAACAACTTTACTGCAAGGGCTATAGAGGAAAGGTGCTAACCTAATTAACTTTAGATACTAGTTCAAAGTAAGTAAATTCTCAGAAAATTAAAGGCATTAGATATTATATATGAACAGTGTGTTCTAATTGATAAAGTGTTTTCCCCATGAAAGTATGAATTAATTCTGACACTGCTGTACATGTATATGGGAATTAAACTTTTAAGTAAATGGGAGGCAGATGGTAGAGAATGAATTTTCTCATTATTGGAAGTTTATAGATATGCAAAGAGGAAGAGGCTAGAATGATCTGAATGCTAATGGCTTAGAATTGGGGCATCAGTGGAAACTTGGTTTTAACTGAATATAGATACAAATGGTTTTATAGTAATATTTACACACACACACACACACACACACACACACACACACCTGGGGTATAATATACACATATTTTTTTTTTTGCCTTGTCAGCCAAGATGGACTAGCAAGCACAATACCCCAATATCAGCATTCATACCTAATGTTCAATTTTGGCTTCTAAATACAGTTCTTCACTAAAAGAAACCAGCATTCTTTGGAAAAGTGGCTGATTGTAGCCCTGCAATAGGAAGTTGGAGCGTCTAGTGCTAAAAAGTCTAAAAGCTCAAATACAGTCAGTGAAGGGGATATGTCATAGGCACACAGGAATCATCTGAAAGAGCTCTCAGTGGTCAAATCTGAAACAGTTTGAAAACAAAACAAATAGAATTGTATTGGATTGTTACCAAAGTATAAAATAATTATTCAAGTATATACAGATAAAAACCTAAATGATTGAATAGAGAAAGAGACTGGATTTCTCATGCGGAATTCCAAATAAATTTAAATAAACTCTACCCTCAAAGAATACACATGTGGGCTATACATAGTGACTCCCTTTGGAAAGTAGTGTATGGAGGGCTGGGATTGTGACTCGGGTAGAACTCTCGCCTCACACATATGAGTCCCTGGGTTCTATCCTCAGCACCATATAAAGATGTCCAACTGCAACTAAAAAATAAAAAGGAAGGGAGGGAGGGAGGGTATGGAAAGTAGGAAATTGACTAACTTTATCCTTACACAAAGATACATCTATATTTTTCCTTAGGAAGTTCATAATTGCATTTTTGTTTTTGCGCCCAGGATATGATCTTACGTAACGACTGAGGCAGGTGTTAATTCAGATGGTAGGTGTTCCAACAGGACTCCCATAAAAAGTAGCATTTCTCACTCAGTGTGGTGGTGCATGTCCAATCCCAGCAACCTGTGAGGTTAAGACAGGAGGATTACAGGGTTTGAGTCCAGCCTCAGCAACTTAGCAAGGCCCTGTTTCAAAATAAAAAATATAAAGGACTACGGATATAACTCAGTTGTAAGGCAACCCAGAGTTTAATCCCCAATACCCACTGCCCTCACTCTAACCAAAGTCACATTTCTCAGTGTAGGACTATAACCCAATAAATTAGGAGAACACTTGTGTCAGGAGAATATTTAGAATAAAAGGGAAATCTGAGAAGAAAATGAAAAAGATCTCAAGTTTTAAAGAAAATAAGTATTAGAACACTCGAACACGTATGTAGGATCAGTATTCTATAAGTGTAAAGGTGAAAAAAAAGAGCAACAGAATTAAAGTGACAGTCTCAGGGCCCCATTGCATAGGCCAGGCCTTGAACCCAGCTTTATTCTCAACTGTACTAAGGCTGTTTGCACAGATGATATAGGAGGAAAAGGAAGGATTCCTTTCACCTTAGACAAATTATCACATATTGATTTGTCCTTTTATAGCTTCTTATAAAGGTGTAAATATTTTATTGGAAAAGAGATTCCCCATGATGCTTTGCTATAATCACAGTAATTCTTGAAATTTCTAAAGTAGGGATGAAGAGTTCATAGTCCTTCCTTGCTTGTTTGTGCCATATACCATATATGTACAGTAATGCTTGAAGTAAGAGGGGGAGTAGGAGAAAGAAAAGGGTGGAAGACATGGTGAAAGATAGCCTTCCTCTTTGATGCCTATACAGCTTGGCACATAGTAAATACAAAATCTAGGAATAACCATATCAGCAGGACAAGACTTAGGAAAGAGTAGTAGAAGAGAGCTGACCACATAGGAAGTGAAGTTTAGAGAATCTTAAAAACTTTTCTGTGAATCTAAAATCATTCCAGAAAACGTTTAAAATGTGTAGAGAAGTTTGAAGTTAAACAGATATTCCAGTTAACTAATTATTTTAGCAGATCTATCTGAAGTGACAAAATTAATCATCATTTCAGATTGTAAATTTATCAGAACAATATATAAATATAGACAATAAATATAGACAATTATATATTGTCTATATATAAATACCCTATAAATTAGACAATTATTATTTGTCAATTAAAATCAAATGGCATGCATAAGATCCTGGGTATAGTGTGCAGGACACACATACAAACATGTTCGTATATTTTAAAAATACGCATGCACACACCCACATATATACATGTATATACATAAATATATTTGGATGTATATGTGATAAATTATAATTACATATGTGGCAGGTAAATGTGTAAAGGATACTCTGCTTTTGGAAAATCGTCTGGCAGATTTTCAAAATATTATCACTCACTAGGTGTGGGTACCCAAGAAAAGCAAAAACAAAACAAAAAAAATGGTTCACACAAGATCTTGTATACAAATATTTATAGCAGCATTATTCATTATAGTCAAAAAATAGAAAACTGAAATGTCTATCAGTTGATGACTCATATAAAATGTGGTATGTCCRTACAATGAGGTGTTATTCAGTAATAAAACTCTAGAATATATTATAACTTGCATGGCCTTGAAAACATTATGCTAAGTGAAAGAAGAGTCAAAAAAGATCACACATTATATGATTATGTAATTTTGTTTATATGAAAGATTCAGGAAAAGCAAATTCATAGACCCACACATAATAGATTGGTGTTTCCTACAGTGGGTTGGGATGACATGATGGAGTAACTGTTAAAATGGTATGAGGTTTTCTTTTTGAGGGAAGAAATTCTGAGGTTAATTGTGGTGATAGTTATTCAACTGGGAATGTGCTAAAAACCATTGAATTGTGTTCTTAAAAATCAATCAATAATATGGTATGTGAATTGTCTCTCAATAAGGCCATTTTAGAGATGGAACAATTCAGTAGATGTGTATATGAGGAAGATCTTTTAATTAAGAAAATTTAGTAGTTTTGATGTTGCCAGTGTTCAAGTTATCAGTGCATAAACTATACACAATAAAACATTTAATTAATTAATGAATACTCTTTTCCTGCAGGTCCCTGAACAGCAGCCCATTACTTTGTGTAGTGGGGTTGAAGACACAAAGCATTATGAAGAAGCCAAGAAATGTGTAGAAGAATTAGCATTGTACCTGAAACCGCTCAGCAGTGCTAGAGGTAAATCTCATGAAACCATCTATGCCAAGCGAACATCTATGAAGTATACTTTTCATTACCATAAAAGTTATGAGCTGTGCCTGGTGTGGTGGTGCGCAATTATAACCCACCTTTGTGAGAGGCTGAGGCACAAGTTCAAGGCCAGTCTGGGCAATTTAGCAAGACCCTATCTCAAAAAAGGCTACATAAGGGCTAGGGTTGTAGGTCAGTAGTAGCATGCTTGTCTAACATGTGTGAGGCACTGGGTTCGAATCTCAGCACTACATATAAGTAAAATAATAAAGGTCCATCTACAACTAAAAATATATTTTTTAGTAAAAAAAAAAAAGGGACTGTATATACAGCTCTGTGGCATAGTACCCCTAGGTTCAATCCCTAGTATCCCCCCAAATTGTGAACTGTAAATGAATGAAATTCATTTCTTTTTATTGTAAGCTAGATCTACTTCATACTAAATAATGTTGCAAACCCATTAAATAAAGTAGTGAATTTAGAGTTTGTGTTGTTGGAAAAATTATTTGAATGACTAAAAGTGTAAGTATGTATAAGTACTAGCGATTCATAAGGGCAACCTTTCCATCATTCGACAATTGTCAATAGTCTTGTCTTCTGTCTAGTTTTAGATGGTGCACAGTAGGGGATGTAATAAAAATGGAAGTTGCTATTATCTCCCAGAAGGGGCTTGCTATTTGATCATAAAAGTAAGATTAATCACTATGAAATAATATGCTAGAACTGTTATGACTTTAAGATTTGGGTCTTTGACCAATTTTTAATGTTGGTTGGTCTTTTTTCCTTTCTTCTTCAAAGATTAAAATGAATAATAGTATTTCAAATGTCATAGTGAATGTTGAATTTCATGTGATACATATAAACATTTGTATACTTTTAAAATACTTGTGTAGTTACATTGTTTATTTTAAATATTCTAGTAGGACCCAGAACTACTATGCACATACCTACAATCAGCCCATCAGAGAAAGAGCTCCTGGACTGTAAAATAGTACTGTAAACCTATAAATAATGTTTTTATTTTCTTCTAAAGGAGTGGGTCTGAATAGCACTACCCAGAGTGTTCTGAGTCGCCCAATGCAGAGGAAGCTTGTGACTCTGGTTCACTGCCAACTAGTGGAAGAAGAAGGCAGGATTCGTGCCATGAGAGCTGCTCGCTCTTTAGGTGAACGAACAGTTACAGAACTCATTCTCCAGCACCAGAATCCTCAGCAACTCTCTTCCAATCTTTGGGCAGCAGTCAGGGCTAGGGGCTGTCAGTTCCTTGGACCAGGTATATAATTAAAATTTGGTATTTATTGTACTAGTAATTCTAAAAGTATAATGTAGAACTCTTTTAAGTGATATATGAAGAAGAGCTGGGTTTACAATATCCCACTCGACAAGTTTCTCAGAGAACTTAAAAATTTTCTCTCAATACCAAAGTTTGTTCATTTTCAGAGAAGTTTTTTCTAAATGCATTAGTCCCTAATCTACTTTCTTAATAAAATATAGAAAATATAAGCCCAAATTGCCCATAAAATTGTTTTAATAAATGTAAAGCTATAAGACTGGGGTTCTAGCTCAGTGGTAAAACGCTTGCCTAGCATGCGTGAGACCCTGGGTTTGATCCTTGGTACTATAAAAAAGGCATAGTTCTCAATGTCTTTTATTGTGTTTCCCATTAATTGAATGATATCTGTAGAAATTATCATATATTGTTCTTTAAATAAAATATATCATCTCTGCACCTGATGATTTTTTTATTTTGCCCAACTTTTCCTAGCAATGCAGGAGGAAGCTCTAAAGCTGGTTCTACTGGCCTTAGAAGATGGCTCTGCTTTGTCAAGAAAAGTACTGGTTCTTTTTGTGGTGCAAAGGTTGGAGCCACGGTTTCCTCAAGCTTCTAAAACTAGCATTGGGCATGTTGTTCAGCTCCTTTACAGAGCCTCCTGCTTCAAGGTATGAATCTAAATTAAAATTTCTGCTTAAAAGGAAACATTGTCCTTTCCCTAAATTTAATAAAGTTGCCTATACCTTTACAGAATATCTCAGGAATTTTTCTTTTGTAAAGAATGTAGATCATACATTATTGAAGTTGAATCTTGTTTGTTTKTTTTTTTCCCATTCTTTTCAGTGCTGGGGATGGAACCAGGGCTTTATGCATGCTAGGTAAATGCTCAACCACTTCGCTACATCCCCAGCCCTAAATTTTCTACATGGATATTGAAAAACATAGACCAAACCAAGACTTACAGATTTTTATATTGAAGAGACTAATCTGCTGGGTCAGTGTTTCACCAACATTATAAACAGAATTGGTCTAAAGAAAGTTATTTGAGCACAAACAAGTTTTCTTGAAGATTTGTTCCTCTACATATGCAATGGAGTTGTTGTTTCCATTTCAGTTTCAGCATGTGTGGTAAAGTTGGACATATTATTCTCTTATATCCCAAGTTAAATCAACACTACCTCAAACATAGGTATTGGCGCCTGCTATATTTATTATTCCTCTGTTTTGTTTTCCTAACATCTTAAAATCAAGGCATAAATAGTGGGCTTAGGGGTGTAACTTAGTGGTATGGCGTTTGCCTACCGGGCATAAGGCCTGGGTTTAGTTYCAGGCCCCCCCCCACAAACACACACAAAGAGATGGATATTTAAACAGTAAATTAAAAAATTAAAAATAYTGGAAGCCAGGTGTGGTGGCCCATACCAGGTTTGGAGGCTGAGTCAAGAGGATCACAACACAAGTTCTAGATCAGCCCTAACAATTTCGTTAGAATCTATCTCAAAAAATTAAAAACGACTGGTGATATACTTTAGTCGTAAAATGCCCATGAGTTCAATCCCCAGTAACTCCCCCCAAAATTTGAAAACCAATTTTTTCTACTTTAAGCATTCCTCTTAGGAATGTGTGTTCATATTACTGTGTTCCAGCTGTACTCTTTAAGTGTCTTCTAAATTTTCATTTGAAAAGTTTTTTCAAGCTGTGAGATAATTTGTTAGTACCATACAGCTCCAGGACTTTATTTATTTATTTTTTAACTTTTATTTTTGGTATTGACAGAGGTTTATTTAGGAAAGTAGATAAATATTCAAAGGAGAATGGGAGCAGTCTCAAGAAAGACTCTACTTTTGGGGTAAAGCAAGGAATACACATTCAAGCAAAAATGTGGGCTACTCCAGAAGGAGGAGAAGCCCTGCTCAAGAGTATTGAGAGTTGAGTCTGGGGAATCAGTGTGTCATATAGAAAGCAAATTTTATCTTTTAATGAAGGTTAGCCTGTTTTGAGAGTTCTTTCTTTCTTTCTTTCTTTTTTTGTTTTTTGTTTTATTTTTTGAAACCCTTTATTTAGTTATTTTTATATATGACAGCAGAATGTATTACAATTTATATTACATATATAGAGCACAATTTTTCATGTCTCTCGTTTTATATAAAGTATATTCACACCAGTTCGTGCCTTCATATATGTACTTTGGATAATGATGTCCATCACATTCCACCATCATTTCTAACCCCCTGCCTCCCCCCTTCCCCTCCTACCTCTCTACCTCCTAAGCTCCTTCTCCTATGTTTTTCCTCCTACTCCTCTTATGCTCCCCCTCCTTACCCCACTATGAATCAGTCTTATATCAGAGAAAACATTCGGCATTTGTTTTTTTGGGATTGGTTAACTTCACTTAGCATTATCTTCTCCAACTCCATCCATTTACCTGCAAATGCCATGATTTTGTTCTCTTTTTTTTTTTTTTGCTGAATAATATTCCATTGTATATATGTGCCACTTTTTTTAATCCATTCATCTACTGAAGGGCATCCAGGTTGGCTCCACAGTTTAGCTATTGTGAATTGTGCTGGTTTAAACATTGATGTGGCTGTGTCCCTCTAGTATGCTTTTTAAAAGTCATTTGGGTATAGTCCAAGGAAAGGGATAGCTGGGTCAAATGGTGGTTCCATTCCAAATTTTCCAAGGAATCTCCATACTGCTTTTCATATTGGCTGCATCAATTTGCAGTCCCACCAGCAATGTATGAGTGTACATTTTCCCCACATCCTCACCAACACTTATTGTTGTTTGTCTTCATAATAGCTGCCATTCTGACTGGAGTGAAATGAAATCTTAAGAGTAGTTTTGATTTGCATTTCTCTAATTGCTAGAGATGTTGAACATTTTTTCATATATTTGTTGATTGATTGTATATTCTCTTCTGAGAAGTGTCTGTTCATTTCCTTGGCCCATTTATTGATTGGGTTATTTGTTTTTTTGGTGTTTAGCTTTTTGAGTTTTTTATATACCATAGAGATAGTGCTCTATCTGTGTGAGGGGTAAAAATTTGCTCCCAAGATGTAGGTGCTCTATTCATAGATTGTTTCTTTTGCTGAGAGGAAACTTTTTAATTTGAGTCCATCTCATTCTTGATTTTAATTTTTGCACTGTAGGAGTCTTATTAAGGAAGTTGGGGCCTAATCGGACATGATGGAGATTAGGTCCTACTTTTTTTTTTATTAGATGCCGTGTCTCTGGTTTAATTCCTAGGTCCTTGATCCACTTTGAGTTGAGTTTTGTGCATGGTGAGAGATAGGGGTTTAATTTCATTTTGTTGCATATGGATTTCCAGTTTTCCCAGCACCATTTGTGAAGAGGCTATCTTTTCTCCAATTTATGTTTTTGGCACCTTTGTCTAATATAAGGTAACTGTAATTATGTGGGTTATTCTTTTGTGTCCTCTATTCTATACCATTGGTCTACCTGCCTGTTTTAGTAGGAGTGTTTTCATACATGTGTATATATATATTTGGTCTTTGAGCCCATGAACTGTGGTAGAATGTAAGTTAGTTTATTTTTTAACTAATGGCTTGATTTTCATCTTTCCGTGGATTTTCCTAACAAAATATAGATTGGACTTTATTTCTTTGTAATGAGAATGGAATACATATTTTAAATTAATATCAGTGTGATATGGAATCCTGACTACAATATTCTGGTTTTTTTTTAGGTGGGAGGAAGGAAACAGAATTTTCCACTAGAATATTAGGTGTCTTTATGGAAAAAAAAAAAAGTTAAAGCTAAAATATGTAGATGATCTTAGGCTAAAGTTAATTATTTTATTTTGATTTGTTAAACCATTAGTCTAAGTACAGCTTGATATAAAATGTGACTGATTGGGAGTGATAACATTTGTATTTAAGTCAGTAAGTTAAAAAAATGAGTTACTACAGTAGTGTAATGGTTAATTCAGTAATTTAACATACTGACTGGCACAATACTAAGTGCTCAGTAACTAGTTGCTATTTTTGTTTATATTTATTTACTTTTTAGTTGTAGTTGGACACAATACCTTTATTTATTTATTTTTATGTGGTGCTGAGGACTGAACCCAGGGCCCCACATGTGCTAGGTGAGCGTTCTACCACTGAGCCACAACTCCATCCCTAGTTGCTTTTTTTATTATTTAAAAATATTATTATCATCTGGGCATGGTGGCAGATACCTGTAATCCCAGCAATTTGGGAGGCCGAGGTGGTAGAATCGCAAGTCCAAAGCCAACCTCAGCAATTTAGTGAGACACTAAGCAACTCAGTGAGACCCTGTCTCCAAATAAAATACAAAAAAGGGCCGGGGAAATGGTGAAGTGGTTAAGCATCCCTGGGTTCAATCCTAGGTAAACTGCCTCTCCCCTGGTCCCGCGCGCGCGCGTGCGGGCACACATGCACACATGCATACATACATAATTATCAACATTATGATTATTCTAGTCTAGCATCTCAAACTTTACACTTGGTGGTGGCCCATTTCATAGAACTACATAGATAATTGAGCCAAGTACAAATTAGTAATCTTTAGAATCACATCAGCATCTAAWGTTCCTCAAGTTATTGGTACCACATAGTTCAATGTCAGGCAAGTCCCTAGAGTACTGCTTTTTAGAATAATTGTCCTTCTGTAAGTATTTTCTTTTCAAAAAGATATATGTACACACAGATATGTATTAAGTTTTATCCAGTCTTTGAATTTCATTCCCATATATGTCCTATCTTTCTGGAAGACCTAGCAGAAGATTTTGACATCTCTGTTGGAGCATGTTTTATAAGCAAAATGGCATATTACATTTTAATCTTGGTGTTGTTGCTGGAAGAAACTTTTTACATTTGAAATTGTTATCTGTGTTTATATAAAGTATAAACTTATTTCTTTACCTCATTATGAGATTAACTGTTTCTTACTAGGTCACCAAACGTGATGAAGACTCTTCTCTGATGCAGCTGAAAGAAGAATTTAGAACCTATGAAGCTCTGCGACGAGAGCATGACTCCCAGATAGTACAGATTGCTATGGAAGCAGGCTTAAGGATTGCACCAGACCAGTGGTCCTCTTTGCTTTATGGAGACCAGTCTCACAAATCTCACATGCAGTCCATTATTGACAAGGTAGAGCCTCTTTTGTCCTTTATGTTAGACTACCCTTAGAATTTTGATATTTTATGATTTATGATTTGGTAATTCATTTACTTAACAAATGCATATTAAAATGAATATTGCATGTCAGGCTTTTTGTAATTTGTATCCAGTGTGGCTGTGTCATGTTATAACTAGTCACATCAGAATACCAGTTTGTTTAAATATTTGATTAGTGTTAAAATGCTTTTATCTAGTACTCTCCCACATTGCTTTTGGGGGGGGTCTCTGGTCTTTTATTTTGTCATTGCCTCTCTCCCTTTGTTATTCTCTTTGAGTTTTGATCACAGGATTAGTTAAACCCACTTTCTAAAAATCTTTATTGTCTTTCTTTAGTATCCAACTGACTGGTTATATTAGATCTGTGTATTGTGGTTTCTTATGATTCTTAGCCAGAATAATTTCACATATAATGAAGCTACTACCATTCTGAGGTAGATCAGATTTTCAGTAAACTTGTCTCTATTTTATCTATTGTTTATTAGGATAAAAAGACCATTCAAGTAGATGTAAATGTTAGATCGGGCTCATTATTTGTATCTGATGCTAAAAGCTATATTTCTCTTAAAATTAGAGTAATACAAGGGGCTGGGGTTGTAGCTCATTGGTAGAGCACTTGCCTGGCACATGTGAGGCACTGGGATCCATCCTTGGCACCACATAATTAATTAATAAATAAACAAACAGATAAATGTGTTGTATCCATCTACAACTAAAAAAAAACAAAACAAATTAGAGTAATACTAGAACTGTTTGTTGTAATTCATAATGACATTTATAAAAGTGCTATTTAAAAAGTCTTAAAGCAGCTTGTAAAACATACTATAGTATTTTAAATAATAATATTATCTTTTAATATTTCACCTTAAATACTTATAATTCCAGAAATGATTGCCAGTTCTGGAGCCTAGCGTACATTTAATTTAGAGTAATAGGGTCAAACTAATAAAATAATAACACTAGTTGAAACTTAAAGGTTGATATGTGCCTAGGTTAGAATGGAGCTTGTATTTGAAGTTAAGCAACTGACTGGCTATAATTTATTGAAACCTTAATAATGATCTTTTTAAAGTAGTTGCTTTCCACCTCTGAAGAAAAACTTAGCTTACTTTTCAAAAGATTTTGCAAATAGGTTAAACTTTTTGTCTCAGTTGAACTATATAATTAGGCATAGGTCCTAGAAGAATTTTTTCATATCCTGCTTTAAATTTAAAATCCAGAGATCTTTGTACAACAAAATGGTAAGCAAAATTTGTAATGTATTTCATATCTTGTCATTTTATAGAGCAATACATAATACCGAACTTTTTGTAATAATGGAAATGTTCTTTGTATATACTTTTCACTATGTTGATCATTTGCCCCATATAGCTGTTAAGCACTTAATTTTTCAGTTTTATTTGTTGTTGTTTTATTTTTTGGTTATGGGGATTGAAACAAGGGCCCCACACATACTAAGCAAAAGCTCTGCCACTGAGCTATATCCCCATCTGCTGCTAAGTACTTGAAATGTAACTTGTGGAACAGTTGAAATTAAATAAAATAAATTATTTTATTTAATTAATTTAAACTTAAATTGCTAAATATGATAGCCAAGCTATCATACAGTACAGTACAGATATAGAATTTATTAGAAATGTCCCCCCAAAGCACTAATTCCATAAATTAATGGAGAGAGAAACAGGAATTAACAGTTCACAAAGAGAATACATCAAGAATGGGCACTGTGGCACATGACTTAATCCAAGCACCTTGGGAGGCTGAGGCAGGAGGATTGCAAGTTTGAATCCAGCCTCAGCTATTTAGCAAGGCCACATCTCAGAATAAAAAAAGGACTGGCTAACTTAATCCAAGCTACTTGGGAGGCTGARGCAGGAGGATTGCAAGTTTTAATCCAGCCTCAGCAATTTAGCAAGACAACATCTCAGAATAAAAAAGGACTGCAGATGTGGTTTATACAATAAATAGATAAACAAATAAATAAATATATCACCAGCAATAATGATTAAAGAAATATACGTTTAAAATAGTGACATACCAAGTATTGCCCGTTAAAGTTTGTCTGTGTATACACACACATATATACTCTCATAACATTGCTGGTTATTTGTAAAGTATACATTATAGATTGTTGTGGGAAGCAATTTGTCAGTGAATAAAAACCTATAAGCCAAGGACAGTATCACACATTTTATTCCCAGTGATTGGGCGGCTGAAGTAAGAGGACCACAAATTCAAGGCCAGCCTCAACAATTTATTGAGGCCCTTTGTAACTTATCGAGACCCTACCTGGAAAAAAAAGGGGGGGCTGTGCATGGAGCTCAGTGATAAAATACCCCAGGATTCGACCAAAAACCTATAAAATACTCTTATCCTTTGAATGTGCTATTGCCAATAAATTTTTGTTTTTGTTGTTGTTTTGGTACTGGGGATTGAACTCAAGTTGAACACTGAGCAACATGTCCAGCCCTACATTGTATATTTTATTTAGAGACAGGGTCTCTCTCACTGAGTTCCTTAGTGCCTCTCCATTGCTGAGGTTGGCTTTGAACTCATGATCTTCCTGTCTCAGCCTCCTGAGCCACTGGGATTATAGGCATACCGCAGCTGGCCCAAATAATTAATTTTAAGGAAATAATAAAAAATTTGAAAGAGTTTATAATCTCAGGAGTATTATTTGCCACATTATTTAAATGCAGAAAATAGGGGAGTGATTAAAGAAGATTTATAAGCTCAGAACACTAACGTAGCCCTAAAATTAGTTGAGAGGAAAATCCTCTTCAGCAGATACATAACGTTTAATTTCTTATTAAAAATGATAGTGAGTCAAGTGTGGTGATGCACTTGTAATCCCAGCTATTCCAGAAGATGAAACAGGAGTATCGTAAGTTCAAGGTCAACCTCAGCAATTTAGTGAGACCCTGTGATAAAATAAAATAAAAACGGACCAAGATTATGGCTCAATAGTAGAGCACTTGCCTAGTATGCATGAGGCACTGGGTTCAATCCCTGACACCACATAAAAAATAAACAAATATGTTGTGTGTGTGTCTCCCTCCCTCCCTCCCTCCCTCTCTCTCTCTCTCTCTCTCTTATATATATATATATATATTTTATATATATATATATATATATATATTTAAAAAATAAATAAAAGAATGAAACAGACTGCGGATGTAGCTCAGTGGTACAGTGCCCTAGTGCCTTAATACCACCAAAAGAAAAAAAAATCAAAACTTAAATGTTATTATTTATTAAGTCTTGGTGATGGAATACATTAGATATATTTGTCTGAAATGGTTTATGATAAAAATGGCTAGCAATCTAAAAATGCTTCAGTTATAGTATTAAGCCAAAACAAATATATAAATAGCTGTCTATGTTTTTTAATTATAATAAGTTATTTAATTATGTTTTTAAAATTATAATAAGTTTTGATACATATATTAAGAATTAAATAAAGGCATGTCGGGATTCTAAGGATAATTGTATTATTTTCCTTTTTTTTTTTTTTAAATGTATACTGTTTAAAACATTACCTCTTGAAGAGTGACCATTTTCAGGAGGAAAATTCTCATCGAAGTGTTTTCATTTATCTAGAACCCTCAATTACTATTACAAAATCAGGGTGGTAGTGTTTTCAAATTAAAGAGATCATGTTATGCCCACCTGAAGTAGATAATGTGAGAATGTGTCTCATTAAACTTTTGGGACCTACACAACCTGAGTGCTTCCAAGAATCCCAAACTAATATAAGATTGTTTGAGCTGGTAGAGTTCTTGAAATTGTTTATTCCATTTAACAGAAGAGCTTCTGATATTAGTAAGATTTATATTCAGTGTCATGATCTTAGACCCTGTAGACTGAGACTGTATTTCCAAATTTTAATTATTTAGAAGGACCCCCTTAGAGCCAAAATAACACACCATGCTATGAAAACCAAAGTTAGAGCCCGGCACAGTGGTGCGTGATTATAATCCCAGTGATTTAGGAGGATGAGACAGGAGAATCACAAGTTCGAGATCAGCTTCAGCAACTTAATGATGCCCCAAGCAACTCAGTGAGACCCTGTCTCAAAATTAAAAAGTGCTAGGAATATAGCTTGGTGGTAAAGGGATTCTGGGTTCAATCCCCAGTACCAAAAAATAATTAAAAAAAAAATAATGGTACTATTAAATTGATAAATTAAGAAAGGTCCCACATTTGAAGAATGTGTAAGCAGAAGGAATAGTGCTTTATACCACATGCCTGTTTATACCCTGTTTAAAACATTGTGGAGATATGAGGAGTTTGTTTAGGTAATAAGTAATTCACTCTGGCCAAAACATATAAGGTATGTGAATAAGATAAATTTCAGAAATTTCAGAAACATCTATGAGTTGTAAGTAATCTTTATTTTATAAGAAGTATCTGGTCTCTGAGAAAGTTAATATTTATGTTTTTTAAGTTGCAGACCCCAGCCTCTTTTGCTCAGAGTGTTCAGGAACTAACAATTGCTCTCCAGCGGACTGGAGACCCAGCAAACTTGAACCGACTAAGACCCCATTTGGAACTATTAGCAAACATTGACCCAAGTCCAGGTAAACCCAAAGGAAACTAATGAACTATATCTTATGTGTGTCCTCAGCTTGATTGTTCATTTGTCTTTTGTTACATTCCTCTAGAATTTCCCAGAATATTTTTTCAAGATCTTTTCTATAGTATTCTTTTTGTTCCAAATCTTCTTCCTTATTTCACTTAAAAGAATATTTATTTGACACTTTCATTTACTTAATGATTAGCTATGCTAATTACCTCATCACAAAAATAGATCTCTTTAGGCTCCTTTATATTTCTTCTTTCTTCCATCACAAAATTGTGCTGTATTTTACCTTTCTCACCTGTGCCAAAACTCATTTTTTCTATATTCTTAGTTGGCATTTCCTTAATCTCATTTTTGCCTCTTCCTTGATACCTTGCTCATTAATTTTCTCTTTTTGGGTATCTTTACTTTGTCAGCCTTTTCCTATATTCTGTTTCTTGATGTGAAAATATACCCAAGCTTAATTTTTTACCTAATGTTTGCATCTAAGCTATTTTAACTTGTATTTATCACAGTGTTTATTCCTACTACTGAACTAAAACTCTGTTAATATTTGCTAGAAGTTTCCAGGTCTCTAATTCCAAAGACTTCAGGCCTTTAAATTTGTCTTCAACATTTAATAATGTTGTTGAACACTTCTTTGGTATAGAAACTCTTCTGACCCTTATATTTCTGCAGTCTCATGTTCTCTTTTGTCTTGAAAGCTGCTTCTGTCTTGATTTGTACCACTCTTTTCCCTCCTATCCACAAACTTGTAGTCGAATTGTGCTTTTGGAACTTTGTATTCTCTGCATGCTTTGTTGATGATGGTTGTTGGTTTTTAGCATCAGGGTATTACCTCTTCATAGAAATAGACTTCCATATCTCTCTATCACTGTTATTTCTTCACTCCAAATCCATTTCCCAAAAACTGCTCTGTGTTTCAAAGTAAGATCATCTTCATTTGATGACTGCTCTTCCTCCTGTTTCCTCACTAACATTCTCTGATGTACGTAACCTTAAAAACCTTAGTCTGGGCTGGGGATGTGGCTCAAGCGGTAGCGCGCTCGCCTGGCATGTGTGCGGCCCGGGGTTCGATCCTCAGCACCACATACCAACAAAGATGTTGTATCCGCCAAGAACTAAAAATAAATATTAAAATTCTCTCTCTCTCTCTCTCTACCAACAAAGATGTTGTGTCCGCCGAGAACTAAAAAAAAAATAAATAAATAAATATTAAAAAATTCTCTATCTCTCTCTCTCCTCTCTCACTCTCTCTTTAAAAAAAAAAAAAAAAAACCTTAGTCTTCTGTCTTGCTGCATACCTTTTCTTTCACTTAACTCTACATATCATTTCAGACAACAGGATCTATTCTTCTTTTATAAGTTTCTCTATTCCATGCCTATTATTGCACCTTAGTGAGATGAGAGCCTGGTTCCTTTTCTCTCAGATTAAATGGTTATAACTTTGTATCCTATGAATTCTTCCAATCCAGTGTACTTAAGTGCTGCAAACTGGAACTTATTCCACACTCATAAACTTTCACTTATACCTCATTGCTTTCAGAGGAATATTTGGAATCCTCTTAACCTTTTTTTTTTTAATTCACTTTTTAGTTGTAGGGCTTGGGATATAGCTCACTTGGTAGAGTGCTTGCCTTGCATGCACAAACCCTGGGTTCAATCCCAGCACACACACACACACACACACTCACACAAACACACACACACAGACACACACACACAAAGGTAGATGGACACAATACCTTTATTTTGTTTATTTAGGGTTTTTAAAATTATTGTTTTTTTTTTTTATTTGGAGATGGACATAATACCTTTATTTTGCTTATTTAGTGTTTTTTTGTTTTGTTTTGTTTTCATGTGGGGTCGGAGATTGAACCCAGGGACTTGTGCATGCTAGGCAAGTACTCTGTCGCTGAGCCACAACCCTAGCCCCTTATCTTACTTTTTTAAAGCAGCCTTCTTTTGCAGATATACTTCCAAGATTGCTCAATGAAACCACATCAAATCTCTTCCTAGAATATACAGTAAGGATGTTGTGGCTCAGTGGTACAGTGCTTGCCTGGCATGCATGAGGCACTGGGTTCGATCCCTGGCATCACATAAAAAAATAAACTAATAAAATAAAGGTATTATGTCCATCTACAGCTAAAAAAATATTTTTTTAAAAAAGAATATATAGTGAGCTTTTTTCCACTTTTTTGCTTTGATCATTCTGAGCAATTAAGCGAAATTCCACAAGCTCTTACCACTATATTAGCCTATCTACATCTATGCCAGTATATTCTGCTGTTTTYGTATAATTGTAGATTAACTGTTCATTGAACTAAAGCCACCCTTTCTCATCGTGCACTAGCATCACCTTGACAAGCATATTCTACCAGTGTCCTTTTTCTGATATCATTAGTTTTCCTTTATTAGAGTACTTCTATCAACATTTAAATACAGTTATTTCTCTCATCTTAACTCATTTTTAGCCCCTTTTTCCACCTACCTAGAAATGTTTTTTACCTTTTTAATAACACTTTGTGCATGTTTCTGGGAATTAAACGTAGGGCTTACTCTACCACTGAGCTGTGTCACCAGCCCTGATGCCACTGTCTTGAACTCAATCCATTCGGGCATTTTTCTCTACCATTCTATCTAAACTTACATCATCAAGGTCACAGTGACTTCCCTGTGACCAGTTCCAGAGTTCAGTTCTCAATTCTTGTATTTGACCTATCCATAGCATGTATCATTACTTGAAATGCTTTTTTCTTGGCTTCCATGCCACCACATTCACCTAATTTCCTTCTTACTTTATTAGGCTGTCCTCAGCATTTTTTCTACTGATTTCCCATCTATAGCTGATGACTCTTAGGGTAGTCTCAAAGTTTAATCATTGCACCTCTTCTCTTTTCTACTTACATCCAATCCCAAGACAATATCAGCAAGTCTCATATGTTTAAATATCATTTATATGGTTCACAAATTTATTCTTGTTTCATCAATTCTGAGGCCTACCTTTTTTTCTGATATTAGCATTTCTGAAATTATACAGTGATATGTTTCTCTTTTGGTGCCATATAAAGTAGTGTAGACATTATAACTGATTGTCTTTTAAAATCTGAAATAGAGTTCATCTAGCTCAGACTTTTTTTCCCAGACTGTGTGTGTGTGTGTGTGTACCCAGCCACCATAATGAGTCTTAATTAGTATTTCAAACTTTAAAAATGAGCTTCTCCCCTTATCTTGTTAGTGTCAACTCTGTTCTTTGATTTGTTTGGTTCAAAACCTCATAAAGATCCTTACCTTCTCTTTATCTCATAGTGTATATGTGATCCATCAGCTAAATCAGTAGGCCTTACCTTTAAATTTCATTTAGAATCCATGAACTTCTTAATACCGTCCTTGCTACAATCTTTATCTCTCCTCATAGATTATAGACTAGCCTCCTGTTTTGTGTATGACATACCACAAGAGCCAAAGTGATCCTATTAATTTTCTGCCCCGAAATTTTTCAGTGGCTTTCCCTCACCTAGTGTAAAAGTTAAAATCTAGCCCATGACCTATAAGTCCTCACATGGTCTGGTCTTTCATTATCTCTCTCCAGCCTTGCTAGTATGGAACCTGCCAATCACACTCTCACATCAAGGTCTTAGCAGTTTTTCTTCCCTCTTAACTAGAAATATTTCCCCCTAGTATCTCTATTAAGACACTCTGAAACCCTTTTTACAGGTCTTTTACTAAATGTAGCCTCCTGAAGGAGGCCTCCTCTGGCTTTTCTAAAAGTTTATGTAACTTGCTGTACTTCTTTTCTTTGTTCTCTGTTTTCAGTTTTCATCATTTCCTAAAAACTCAGCCAGGTACAGTGGCACATGCTTGTAATCCCAGAAGCTCAGGAGGCTGAGCCAGGAGGATTTAAGTTCAAAGTCAGCCTCAGCAATTTAGCGAGGCCCTAAGCATCTTAGCAAGAGCCTGTCTTAAGTATAAAAGAAGAATAAAAAAAAGAGCTAGGGGTGTGACTCATAGGTTAAATGCCCTGGGTTTTAATCCTCAGTATCAAAATAAATAAATATAAAATTGAAAAATGGTGGAGCAAACACAGAAAATGCTTGCAATATAATGTTAAGTGAAAAAAAATTAAAACTCTGTTTTGATTATTTTTCTTGTTTATTATCTGGATCATTTCCTTGAATATAATGGGAATTTTTGTTTTATCACTACTGCTTCTCTAGCACCTAGAACAATACTCAGGCATGGTATATGTTCCCAAATATAATTTTTGAATAGCTGTTCACTTTCGCTTCTCCGTGTTCTCCTTTTTCCCCCCTAGTGAAATTCCATTTGTTCTTCAAAGCCCCATTCAAATGTTGTCACCAAGAAGTCTTGCATGATGGCTTCAGCAAGAAGTCATGTCTAAAAATGTGTTTGCACTTGATTTTGTATTTTTTTAGAGATTATTTTATATTTAGCTTTATGGTTAATTGTTATATAATAAAAATCTGGCACTAACAAATACTAAATGAAGACTGTAGCTGAGTTGCTTTTATATAGTTGCTTTATCTATTAAGCTTATTAAACATTTTGTTTATCCTATACCTGAATTATGTAAAACTTCAAAATAAACATACAAATTGGCTGACTCGAGGCAGTCCATAGTTAAGTTTTGTGTGAACTCCCCTTTGTTGGTCTGTATAATGTTCTAAATCTGTTAGGTGCTAGCATTTAAAAACTGTTAAATTTTATGGCTGTGGTTGTGGCTCAGCGGTGGAGTGCTTGCCTGGCACGTGTGATACACTGAGTTTGACCCTCAGCACCACATAAATATAAGTAAAACAAAGGTATTGTGTCCAACTACAACTATTAAAATACTTGAAAAATTTCAAAAAACCTGTTTTTAAGTTTTGACTAGGGGTATAATTAAGTAGTAGAGAGCCCTTGCCTAGCAGGTGCAAGGCCTTGGTTTCAATTCTCAGCATTTAAAAAACAAAAAATTGATAAATTTAGGAAGCTCAGATTTCGATGTCCTTGGGAAACTCTAGGACCAACCTTGCATCTTTACATAAGAACAACTAGTTGAAGACGCTGAGTGGTAAGCATACATTTGTATCAGAGATATGCTCTCCAGTCAGCGCAGTCCATGTCACACTCTGTGGTCTGTTCAATACTAAGGTTCTAATGACAGGTGCCTTTATTTTCTGGCTTCCTTAATTCCTTTGTTACCTTTTTTTTCCCTGTGGTAATTTTAGTTTGTAAACACATCTTTTAAAAGAATATGTCCATTCCTTTAAAAAGGAGGTTAGGTGAATAAGTTATTTGAAAGGCTGCATTATGCTTGATTGCAACTTCTTTATTAATATATTGGACCAAATATTTAATAATATTATAGCTAAAGAAGATTTTTGTTCTCATTTGTTCTATAGATGCTCCTCCTCCTACTTGGGAACAGCTAGAAAATGGACTGGTAGCTGTGCGTACAGTTGTACATGGGCTGGTTGATTATATACAGAACCATAGCAAAAAAGGAACAGATCAACAGCAGGTAAGATGCAGCTTAAAATTTAAAATTAAGTCACCATGCATATACCTTGAAACTACTGTGAGTAAATCTACAGATATGAAGTCAAAAAGATAACATGAATATTTTAAGACTGACAATCAAAACCATATAAATTATAAATTAGCATGGTTAGCAGCCAATTTACTGGTTTAGCCTAGTAATTTTTTCCAACATCATTAAGCTAATCCTTACTGATCTGATGTTGCACTGGTTCACTTTTCACATGGAATATATCAACATTTGATGAAGAAAGCATATTCCGTGCTAAACCTTATTCCATTTAAGATTATTCTCTGGACTTTGTATTATATATTAATTTGACAGTAGGTATTACTGCTGTATTAAGTAATCTAATACTGCTCATACAGCTGTAGATGGTTTTTCTATATTATTATATGTGCAGTGAAAAGCCTGTGAGTTTAATACTCTTATTTCCCTGACTTAGGTAAATATTAAAAATAGATTATGCAATCTATCTTTTTCCCCTGTAGAAAGACAAAAAATATCAAAAGTAGCCTGGGTATGATTTTCCCATTTATTCTAAACACAGATAAAGAGCTTTATTTTATGACTAAGAAATTTTGAAAAACCTAAAACTTTCAGTTGCTTTCTATTCCATTGGCTATCACAAAGAATATAGCAAAAACAATGAGACAAGCTTTTAAGGTCTGCCATTAGTGATAAAATATGTTAAACTTGGTTCACTTTTGTGTTATATTTGATATTAACCTTGAAATCCATCCTAATGCCTATCCTCAAGTTGTAAATAATAAGCTTAATGTGTACCTTTGGAGAATTTTAAGTCATTGGCATATTCGTCTGCAAGTCACGAATTGGTTATTGGACCTTTTGTACATTTTGTAGTATTTTATAGGAAATGTATATCTGTCTGAACATTGCACAAAACAAATATTAGAAGAGAGTTTATACATTCACAAGTCTTAAATTCCATTGGTTTGTTTTTCTGTTATAAAACTTGGAAGAAAGATTATAAAGTTGCCCTGAGGTTTAAGAATTTATATGATGCCATGTGTTTGAGAATTAACATCAACATTTCAGAAAAATTAGAACTTATATATATATATTTTTAATATTTATTTTTTTAATTGTAGTTGAACATGATACCTTTATTTATTTTTATTTTTATGTGGTGCTGAGGATAGAATCCAGGTCCTCACACGTGCTAGGTAGGCGCTCTACTGTTGAGCCACAACCCCAGCCCAGGACTTATATATTTTTAACTCTCTGAGACTTAAGAAAAAATAACTTGAGAACTTTGTCTCTGGATAATGTAGATGAATATGGGGATTAATCTTATTCATCTAGATTGTGAAAATCCTAAACTGGCAAAATGGAATTTGCATTCATTTTGGTTTTGTAATTTTTGTTTTATGTCTGATGTTTTGATTTTGGTCTTAGCCTCCACAGCATAGCAAATATAAAACATACATGTGTCGAGATATGAAGCAAAGAGGAGGATGCCCTCGTGGTGCCAGCTGTACATTTGCACACTCACAAGAGGAACTGGAAAAGTAAGTGTGAAAAGCATGAGACAGCCTTTGGAATAAGATATAAGTAGAACAATGTGCTGACTTTGAGAAATAAGGAGAGTGGTTTCTTCGGCTTTCATTAATTACATTGTTTCTACAGAGAAAACTATTTTGTGTTTAGGTTTATCTCAAAATGAATCATTTTTACTACAAAAAAATTAGAATGTTAGCAATTTTCATTAATTTTAGCTAATTTTTAATAATTGTATAATGTGTTACCTGTGGAAAATTTTGCCATTGGCTCAACTTCATAGTTTTTTGAAATTTCAAGGGCTGGATAATTACAGTGATGTTAAGTTTTCTAGCACACTAAAGAAAGAAAGACCACATTCTCTCACCACCCTCCTTCCAGGTACTGGGGATTGAACCTATCAATGCTTTGCCACCGAGGAGTTACATTCCTATCTGTTTTAATTTTTTATTTTGAGATGGGGTTTCATCAAGTTGTTGAGGGTTGCTAAATTGCCCAGGCTGGCCTTGAACTTGTGATCTTCCTGCTTTAACCTCCTGAGTCACTGGGATTATAGGTATGAACTACCATGCCTGTCTTCTTTTTTTTTTTTTTTTTTTTAAATAAAGCCGGTATGACACACCAAATTTTGACAAAGATAACACAATGAAAGAAAATTTTAGGGGTTGGGAGTATAGCTCAGAGGTAGACACTCACCTAGCATACACAAGGCCCTGTTGGGTTCAATCTCCAACACTGTAAAACCAACAAAAGAAAGGGAAAGAAAATGACAAAAATATTAATATTAAAAATCACTCCAAATAAAACAGAATTCAGTAATTCATTAAAATAGATTGAAGAAATAACATGATCATACCCAAAGATTGCAGAAGTCATTTGAATAAAATCTAACATCAATTTTAGATCAAAATCCTTTAATACAACAGTAGATACTTTGTATTATAGTATAATAACAGTATCATAGATACTTTCTCAGCCAGTTAATTAATTATATCTTAAAAGCCACCATGGTAGCATGATGCATTTAATTAGTACAATAATAATTTCATCTTATTAAATCAATAAAAAAGGTAAGATTTTTCTCCTAGAAAGTTAGTTAGCATTCTGGGGTTTTCCTCTTTGTTGTCGTTGTTATTGTTGTTGTTCTGGTATTGAATCCAGAGGCCTTCTACCAATGAGCACACCCCCAGCCCTTTTTATTTTATTTTGAGACAGGGTCTCACTAAGTTACCCAGGCTGGCCTTAAACTTGGGATCCTCCTACCTCAGCCTCCTGAGTGGCTGGGATTATTGGTATGTGCCATTTCACCTGACTCTTAACATTCTGGAAGTAGTAGCTGATATATGTAAAGTTACAAAATGAACCACTGTCATGTAAAATAAAAAGGAAAACGTGTAGGCCCTGTTGGCCCTAGCATATACAAGGCCCTGTTGGGTTCAATCTCCAATACTGAAAAACCAACAAAAGAAAGAAAAATTAAGTTGAGTATTGGATGGTGTAGGTAGTGATAGAGCGCATGTGCAAAGCACTAACTAGGTTGGATTCCCAGCACCACAAGAGAAAAAAGTTGAAATTACAGATCCCTTATAAATAGTAAGTTCTGTGAGATCCCAATTAAAATCTCAACGTGGTGATTATTAAAGGCCCAACAAAATCATTCACTTGAAAAGAATAAATACATGCAAATAGGTAGGAAAATTATGGGAAAAAAGTCTTCAAAAGAGACTAGATTAATAGTTGTTTTATAAGCTAAGATAAATATAAAAACTGGTATTGCATAGGAACGATAGCTTAGTAAAGTGTAATAGAGAGCATCTAAAAAGAGTTGGAAAAACATAGGAACTTATGTGCTCAAGGTGACATTTTACATCAGTGACAAAAGATAATGGCTGTCTCTTTGAAAGATTCTTACCTGTCTTTGTACAAAACAATGAGTCTTTATATCAGTGTCTGTATACACATGTCATAGGAATAACACCACAGAGTACTGAAGTACTTTTGTTGTTAAATAGTCTTAAAGAAGGAAATAATTTTTTTGTAGATCCATGAAGAAAAGATTTCTTAAAATTGATTACGTAAAAACTAAAGACAGATATGGTGAATACACACAATTTTAAAAAGAAAGTATATGCAGATCAGATATCCCTGACACAAAATGAGATACTGCAAATATTTAAGAGAGGAGCCAGTATATTTGTGAATCATGAATATAAATGTATTAGTCCTGACTTTTGTGTTGCTTTGACAAAATATCTGGGGCTGGGGCTGGGTTACTTGTAAAGTGGTTTATTTGGCTCATGATTCTGATGGCTGGAGGTTCAAACAGCTTAGAGCAGGTTTTTTTATGAGGACCTCCCCAGTTGTGTCATAATATAGTGAGAAAGCAAAAACAGCCAAGTTCATGGGGTGATTTTACTTGATAACAATTCACTCTTGTGAAAATTGATCCATTCCACAAGACCAGCGTTAATACCTTGCAAGGGCAGTGTCCCTATGACCTAATTACCTTTTCCTTAAAGCTTTCACCACCACCCAGCATTGCCACCATTGGGACCAAACTTTAACACCCTTGGAGAGTACACTCAACCCGTAACCAATCCATAATGAATAGATGATTCACAGAACTAATGGCCACTGGATGTGTAAACTGTATTTAGCCTCACTATTTATTGAAGAACTGCAAATTAAAGCTATTCAGTTTTTTAAATTTATTTATTGGTATTGGATATTGAACCCAGAGGTATTTTAAATTGAGGTGTATCACTATCCCAACATGTATACTCTTTGGCCTAGCAGTTCTGTGTTTGATTACTCACATTAGGATGCAAGTTCATGTACATAATTATCAGCTACAACATTGATTTAATAGCCAAAACCCCTAAAATTAACTGTATCATAAAGGAATATCCAAGATTAAATGCAAAAATAATGACTAATATGACCCTGTTTTTGTAAATAATAATGTTATACACATAGGAATGTGAATACTAAGCTTGGTGTATAGGGCAAAAAAGGTGTATGATGCTATTTCAAATTCTAAATGGTAGTTACTTCTTCCTAGAGACCACTCTGGGCAACCAATTCAGACCTTGTCTCAAAATAAAAAAGAAAAGAGCTTGATATGTAGCTCAGTGGTAAAGTGCCCTGGGTTCAATCCCCAGTATTTTAAAAAATATTTTTCTGTGCCCTTTTTTTTTTTTTTAACTATGATATCTGCATAAATTTAAGCCATTATTTTGTATTGTTTACATTAACCTACTTTTAAAATAATTTCAGCTGGGGGTGTGGCTCAAGCGGTAGTACGCTCGCCTGGTGTGCGTGCGGTCCAGGTTCGATCCTCAGCACCACATACAAACAAAAGATATTGTGTCCGCCAAGAACTAAAAAATAAATTAAAAAAAATAAATAAATTCATTCTCTCTYTCTCTCTCTCTCTCTCTCTCTCTCTCTCCTCTCAAAATAAATAAATAAATAAAATAATTTCAGTTTTATGTAGGCACAAATAGCATCAGCATCTCTGTAGCACTTCTGATAAAAGTCAACATTTTCAGTTATTCAAATGTCTTAATGTTGTAGATTATTATTTTTTCACAATGCGCATTGGTTCTGTTTTTGTTTTTTCGTGCTAGATATTGAACTCAGGATGTACTCTATCACTTAAGCTACCCCTTTAGCCCTGTTTTATTCTTAATTTTTAATATAGGCTTACTGTATCTCAAGAATAAATTTGAGGAAAAGCTGAAGTAAAATGTTTTAAACTGTCTTCTCAAGATCTTTTTACCAGTAAGTTTTGGAAATAGAAATCTCAACAAATAGTAAAAGTCTTAATAAACTGACTTATAATGGTAAAATGCTGGTGAGTTCATTAGAAGGAATTTTGTGCTCTATCAATGTGTTTTGTTACCTAAGATTTTATAGGAAATATGTGTACACACAGTTCTTGAGTTGATAGAGAGCCAGTGTTTTCAAGAGAGAATTTCTAAGGGCAAACACACACACACACACACATTTTTGGTACTAGAAATTGAACCCAGTGTTTCCTGTCTACCACTCTGCTACATCCTCAGCTTTTTTCATTTTTTATTTTGTTAAGTTGCTCAGGCTGGCCTGGAACTAACCATTTTCCTACCTCAGTCTCTCACATTAGAATATAAGATTTTTAAGCTGGGCGCTGTGGCTCACACCTGTAATCCCAGCAGCTCAGGAGGCTGAAACAGGAGGATCGTGAGTTCAAAGCCAGCCTCAGCAACAGCGAGGTGCTAAGCAACTCAGTGAGACCCTGTCTCTAAAAGAAATAAAAAATAAGGCTGAGGATGTAGCTTACTGGTTAAGTGCCCCTGAGTTCAGTCCCTGGTACCAAAATAAAAAAGAAAGAAAGAAAAAAAATATTTTCAAATGCATTTTGTTCTTGGTTTTGCCTTGATATATATATTTTTTTGGTTGTACCTTTGCTTTTTGTTATAGATTTCGTAAAATGAACAAACGTCTAGTTCCCAGAAGACCTCTGAGTGCCTCTTTGGGTCAGTTGAATGAGGTGGGCCTGCCTTCTGCAGCCATCCTTCCAGAAGAAGGTGCAGTGGATCTACCTAGCAGAAAACCCCCTGCTCTACCAAATGGAATTGTGCCAGCAGGAAATACAGTGACACAACTGATTCCACGGGGGACAGATCCCAGCTATGATTCTAGTCTGAAACCAGGGAAAATAGATCATCTGAGCAGTAGTGCTCCAGGATCCCCTCCTGACCTGTACGTCATTTTTCCTCAGTTTCTTCCTTTTAAATGTAAAGCAGAAGAAGAAGGAAAGATTAATGTTTTAGTTAAAGAAAACGTTTTCTTTCTTTATTCTAGTAGTTTTTAAGAAATAGCATAGGTGTGAAAATRATAAAATTTGCAAATTTGGTAGAGGAAATGACTATTAGAATAAACCAGTTTATCAAATTGTGGCCATCTTGTTTTTACATTGAACAATTTATGTACATTAGAAGTATCTTAGAGATCTAAATCTTAGATTGTATAATCTTATTCCCTTAGGCTAGAATCTGTCCCTAAGAGTATTTCTGCCTTACCTGTGAATCCACATCCTGTACCTCCAAGGGGGCCGGCAGATCTGCCTCCCATGCCTGTCACCAAACCACTTCAGATGGTACCACGAGGTTCTCAGTTATATCCAGCACAAGCAGATGTTTATTATCAGGATCCTCGAGGAGCTGCCCCACCATTTGAACCAGCACCTTATCAGCAGGGTAATGGATATTTCATTTATATCACTCACTTGTCTTAGGAGTTAAGAAAACTAGGCAGGTAAGAGTGATGATTTACATAGTGGCTTCCTTAAAACAAGTAATTGTGTTTTTACTTTGGGAAAAAATTGAGATTTTTATGATCAACTAAATAAACTACCTTAGTAACTATGCACAGTTATCTGTATTTTTCTGGACCTATAAAATATATATATATATATATATATATATATATGAAAAACTAACATTGATCCTTTTGGAATTTATTGTATATAATCAATAGTAAAGAATAAAAAACTACTTATTATGTATGATGTGTGTGTGTGTGTGTGTGTGTGAGAGAGAGAGAGAGAGAGAGAGAGAGAGAGAGAGAAGCTGACCAAAAAGGACATCATTGAGAACTTGAGTCAGAAAAACCCATAAAAAAAATGCTTCAAATAGAGGTATTAGGAATAGAAAGAAAAATTTATGAATGGATTAGAAAGAGTCTAGAGTCATGGAAGAGTTAGAAAACTGTTAATCCTCTAGGCATGGTGGTACGCTCCTATAATACCAATGACTTGGGAGGCTGAGTTAGGAGGATCACACGTTTGTGGTCAGCCTGGGCAACTTAAAATAAAAAGGGATCTGGGGTTGTAGCTCAGTGGTAGAACTTGCCTCACATGTGTGAGGCACTGGGTTYGATTTTCAGCACCACATATCAATAAATGAATAAAAATAAAATAATGTCCATCAACAACTAAAAAATAAAATAAAAAGGTTTGGGGATATAATTTGTGGTAGAGTACTCCTGGGTTCAGCCCCAGTACCCTCCCCACCAAAAAAGGTAAAGGTATGGAGAAGAAAGGGGGTGACTAAGGTTTAATATTTACAGTACATTATAAAATGCTGAAAGATTTTAAAATTGAAGTGTTGTATCTCTGTCAGAGATACAACAGAATGAAATGCTATTATTTGTTAAATGGAGGCCTGGTATGCATACCTGTAATCCCAGCAGCTTGGGAATCTTGAGACAAGAGATCACAAGTTCRAGACCAGCCTCAGCACTTCAGCAAGGCCCTAAGCAACTTAGTGAGATCCTGTCTGAAAATTTAAAAAAACAAAAAATTCTGGAGATGTAGCCCATAGGTAAAACAACCCTGGGCTCAGTCCCCAGTACCAAATAAATAAATAGGCAATAAAGATGTCTTCTGTTTCCTTTTCTCAAGGCTTTTAATTTTGAATCAGAAGTGTCACCTCCTGTACATTCAAGAGAATAATTTTTAATTGATATGACATTACTAACAAAAAAAAATGACAAAACTTGATTGATATCTTTCTTTTGACCAGGAAAAATCTAGCTATTTTTATTGAGCTGGCTAATGTGTAACTTTAAATATACTGGTACTAGTCAGGACCCAGTTGTAGATTACAGAAGTCATTCTAGCTATATTAAGCAGAAAGAGGCTTAGTGCAGGAGTTTAATGCCCGCGATATCCATGAACTATGGAAGCAGATTAAGCTAGGTCTCCCAAGAGTAAGTCCCAGAACTAGATGTTTATTGAATCTTTTACAATGAAAATACAGAAGTGGAAAACTTCTGTTCTAACTGCTACAATGAAATTGAAACCTACTACTGCAGCTTTATCCCAACTCTGGAACTAAGTAGTAGTTACTAGATATACACCAGCAAAATGGACTTTTTGTATGTTACTTCTCGTACCAATAAATTCAGTTTCATATTCAGATCTGTAGTAGAAATGGAATTTCAAGGATTTCTGTAAAATGGAACTTTTTGTTTTCCATTTTCAGTATTAAGACAACACCAGAAAGAGGGTCAAACAGTAAGAACCAGTCTACTGTTGTAGATTATAGATAGCTTAGTTTTTTTTCTTTTCAGTGACATTTAAATTGTGTGGCTATGGGTGCATGGGCTATTTGTACTAGGAATCAAACCCAGGGTCTCACACATGCTAGGCCTAAGGATAATTTTAGCTTCATATTCTCATAAAGCTGACCTAACAATGTAAGCAGGAGGGAAAACTTCTAAAGAAATAAGTGAATTATTAATGCTTCAGTGTTTCAGTATTTAAAATATGTGTTTGTGTATGAATGAAAATAGTTTGGCAAATTGTTGCCTTTGGTTCCTTTTCTTTGTATTATACAGGTATGTACTATACCCCACCACCATGTGTATCCCGCTTTGTTCGACCTCCACCATCTGCTCCTGAACCTGGTCCTCCCTACTTGGATCCTTATCCACCCTACCTCCAAGATCGTGTTATGAACTCTCAGTATGGCGCACAGCCACAACAGTACCCACCTATGTACCCACCTCACTATGATGGTCGTCGAGTGTACCCTGCTCAGTCTTATACAAGAGAGGAAATTTTCCGAGAAAGCCCTATACCCATTGAGATTCCACCTGCTGCAGTACCATCATATGTACCAGAGTCCAGAGAAAGATACCAGCAAGTGGAGGGTTACTATCCAGTAGCCCCTCATCCTACTCAGATCAGACCTTCGTATCCCAGAGTATGGTGTATTTTTTTTTCTCATTACATAGACTTAGTTTATTTTTGGCAGTGATTCATTAATTTCTTGGCTATGCTGATAGAATTTGATCACTTATTTTGTATAAGAAAGTTTCTTTCCTTTTAAAAATTATTTTCATAATTCAAGTAGGGTTTTTTTTTAAGTATTAATGGGAGGTCTCCCAACTAATGATTCTTAGTTTGTGAATTTAGATGGTCTTAATAATTCCTGAATGGCATGAAGGTATATACCTGTAATCCCAGTTGCTCAGAAGGCTGAGGCTGAAGGATTGAAAGTTTGAGTACAACCTAGGCAACTTAGTTTGACTCTGTGTCAAGATTAAACTTAAAACTAGAAAATGTAGCTCAATGTTAAGAGTGCTTGCCTAGAGCAAGCAAGGCCTTAGGTTCAATCTCCAGTACCATGAATGAATGAATGAATGAATGAATGAATATTTTGATTCTATTAGGAAATGATGGTCTCTGGCCAAGAAAAACAAACCTAAATTTAGCTTTTGGGAAACCTTGAGCGTTTTAGTGCATTTCTTTTTCTTTTGAATTTTACAATGTGTATACAGGCTGCTTCTAATTTTAAATATATACTAAATAAACTGATGTGTTCTGAAATTCTCTGTCAATTTTAACTACTCTTTCCATTTTCAGGAGCCTCCATATAGCCGGCTTCCTCCTCCTCCTCCCCAGCCCCATCCTAGTCTAGATGAGCTACATCGCCGACGAAAGGAAATTATGGCTCAACTGGAGGAAAGAAAGGTTATCTCTCCACCTCCTTTTGCACCTTCACCAACATTGCCTCCCACATTCCATCAAGAGGAAGTAAGCACATCTTTTTAGTTTTTTATTAATTTTTCCTTTATCAGTTTGTGTGCATGTGTGTGTGCTATTTAAATAATCTTTATATATTCCCAAGGTTATCTACCTATTCCTAGAATTATCAAGGTATTTGCTGTTTTCTTCTAAAGATTATTTTATTTTATACTTAGATGTATAATCCATCTAGAATCCCTTTTTTTTTTCTTTTTTAATATCTTTGTTTTATTTATTTATGTTTTTATGTGGTGCTGAGGATTGAACCCAGTGCCTCATGCATGCAAGGCAAGCATTCAACCACTGACTACAACCCCAGCCCTTAGAATCAATTTTTTTTATATAAACTGTGTTGGAGACATGATCCTTTTGTGTGTGTGTGGTGTATGTGTGTCTCTCTCTCTCTAAGGGTATCTCATTTATCCTGTACCATTTAATGAAATGAGCATCCTTTCYCCCTTGTCCTGCAGTTACCTTGTTATAATGAGGTGACCATTGATCTGATTGTCTTACACCAATACCATAAATCGGCCACCCCTACCACCTCCATCCACATTCCTTTAATGTAGTTTTATTTATCATGTTAGCCAGTTGCAGCATGCACACCTGTAATCCATTGGCCCAGGAGGCTGAGGCAGGAAGGTCCCAAGCAACTTGATGAGACCCTTTGTAAAATAAAAAGGGCTTGGGATTATTTATTCAGTGATAAAGTGCCCCTGGGTTCAATTCCCAATACTGGGGAGTCTGAGGGGAATTTACATAATTTCACAAAAATATTTGCTTCAGTTTTGATTAAGATTCATTGAATCTCTGAAGCTGGTAGCTAATCCAGGGGCTGGAGGTATATATCAGCGGTAGAGTGCTTGCCTACCACTTAAGGCCCTGGGTTCAATCCCCAGAGCTGCCAAGAAAAAGAGGCAGGAGGAGACTCATCCAAAATGAAATGTGCTATAAGCACATTTTTAGTACCAAAAAAAAATATTTTATTTTTTACTATCTGGATATATTGGGTTAAGTGAAATGCCTGTCTCTCTTTTTCTTTTTTTGTACCGAAGATTGAACTCACCGGCACTTAACGACTGAGGCATATACCCAGCCCTTTCTGTATTGTATTTAGAGACAGGGTCTCACTGAGTTTCTTAGGGCCTCAGCTCCCGAGCCTCTGGGATTACAGGCATGTGCCACCTCGCCCAGTTGTGAAATGCATTTTTAAGATTAATTTTGATGGATGCAGTGGCATCTAGCAAATGGGAAAAAATGATGCAGTTCAAGGCTTTGTCTCAGCAACTTGGTGAGACCCATTTCAAATTAAAAGACAATAGGGGCTGGGGATATGGTCAAGCACCTCTGGGTTTAATTCCCTGTACCCCACCCCCTCGCTAATTTTTTTTTTTTTTTTAAGATTAATTTTAACTGGTGGAGCTCTTGTCTAGTGTGTTCAAGGCTGTTGGTTTGTTTTCCAATACCACCCAAAAAAGTTTAATTTCACTGTTTTTTTAATTATTATTTTTTAATGTGTCTACTAGAAATTTAAAACATATATTTGAGTAAAATATATTTCTATAGAATAGTGTTGTTTTAGATCAATTTTGAAAGAAGTGACATCTTTAGAAATCAAGTTTCCATGAACATGATATCTCTCTCCATTTGTACAAGTGATTCCCCACCCCCCACCCGAGCACCATGATCCAATGGAGAGTCTTGCAAGTGCCCTACCACTGAGCCACACCCTCAGCACTAATGTTTTTAACATAGAGAAATTAAGTAGACTTTTGTGTATTCTGCTCTTTAGCAGGCTAAATTTCCTGACTAATTCTAATATTTGTTAATGGGTTCTTTTGGGTTTTCTGAGCACATAGTCATGTCCTCTGAATAATTACCAGCTGTTTCCTTTGTATTCCTTTTGTCTCTTGTTTATACTCCAGAATAATGTTGCATAGAAGTATAATAGCCGGTATTCTTTACTCATTGGTAATTTTTGAGTAGGTAAAGCTTTTAGTAATTCACTATTATTATGTTTGCTGTAGGTTTTTTGGTAGAAGATCTTTATCAGATTAAGTTTCCATTTATTGTTTTACAATTTTTGTGTTTAACTTAGTAATGAGAAAATTAACAGGATGGTAATAAAGAAAAAAAAAAGCAATACAGGTAGTCAAAGTTGGAAAAAAACAAGAACCCTAAAATAAAGGTGCTTAAAACAAACAAAGAAACCAAAAGCTGGTTAATGTAGTAGGCATGGTAGTATAAACCTGAAATCCCAGCAGCCGGGGAGGCTGAGGCAAGAGGATCTCAAAGTCAGGACCATCCTTGGCAACCTAGGGAAGACCCCATTTTTTCAAAATGGGCCAGGGAGGTAGCTCTGTGGTAGAGTGTCTCTGGGTTCAGTCCCCACTACTGAAACAATACCAAAAACTAATTAATGTACCATAGGACAATAAACCATAACTTTGGATTTTACCTTCTTTGTATTTCTACAAAACAGTGCTAATAGTTATTGTGAATGAATGTTGTCTTGCATCTTTTTAATGTTTATCTGATCTGTAGTGATTTTCCACTTCTGCTGTTGGTATATTTTTTTCTTGTTTGGTCTTGCTATGGATTTGTTCATTTTATTTGTGAAACAAAGCCATCTTTTTGCTTTGTTGATCTTATTTATTTGTTTGTTTTGTTGTTTTATACATAGTACTTAAGCTTATAGTTATATATGTTTTTTGAAAGACAGCACATAGTGGACATTTGGTAAATAATAACTGTTTATTTTATRTTTTAATTTTCATTAAAATTAACAATAATGCCTCGTTGTTAAAGAACTTTATATAGAACTATCTTAGGACATAGAAAACTCTACATATTTAAGCTTCAATTTTTATTATAAACAGCTTACATATAGTTGTACTAAATTCAAACATTATAGAAATACATAACATAGAAATAATTTTCCAAAATCCTGTTTTCTGTAGCTACTGTTAATTTGTTATGTATTTCATTTTCTTTGTGTTCCTATACTAACATTATTTTCTACTAGGATGATTTGATCATACATTTTGAGATTTTATGCCTGTGATTTGCATTTTTTTGCTTACAGTTTATTTTTACTTAACTAGTTACTCTGTATGTTTATATATAAATTTATCCAATTCCTTTAACAGCTGCATAGCACATTATATTTGGGGTGAAAAGGGTATGTTTTTTAGTAGATAGTATGTTTTAAAAGCTAGCTGTTATACATGAAGTTTGAAGATGAAGGGGAAATATAAAGGAGATGAAATTTTTCAAAAGTGGTAGGGCAATCAAAAGGAAAGATGTTTTGAACAACAGAAACAGAAATTGTGGTTGAAGTGAGTATTGATGAGCACATAGCCTTGCTCAGTGCAGAAGGCTATATTATGACTCAGAAGAGATCCTTAAGTATAAGACTTAGATCCTCTTAAGTGTACCAGCAGCCCATAGATAACAGTAGATCTACATATCCTTTGATAAAGTGAAAGCAATGTTAAAGTTCTAGTTCTTGTTCTGTTGTGGTTTAGCTTTGATTACATTGTATCTACATTTTTCTTTATTGAACTTGAAGAATTTATGAGACAGTGTACAGGAAACCACTTTGAAAATGCCAAATATTACGTAAAAGTGAATATAACAATAGCTATTCTCTTACTAGATAATTGCAGAACTTACATTAAGAAGATAAAAATTATGCATATTATCCTTTTTACATCCTTGAATCATCCTATGGACCAGAATTTATTCAAGATAGGAATTATTGCTGTTAAAGAGATTTTAATAAAGAATTGTTACATCTGGGGCTGGGATTATGGCTCAGTGATAGATCTCTCGTCTAGCATGTTCGAGGCCCTGGGTTCGATCCTCAGCACCACATAAAAATAAAATAAATAAGATAATGTGTCCAGTTACAACTAAAAAATAAATATTAAAAAAAACACGAATTGTTACATCATCATCCAGTGCGCTTTAAACTGTATTTAATGTTTTTGTTTATCTGTTATTAAAGGCAGCATTGAGGGGGATCTAGGAAAATCATGCCTTAATACATATTTGCTTAAATGTTGATTTCATCTAATGTAATAAAGAAAAGGATGGGCAAACCTGTAAAATCCTGGCTTGATTCCTTGTAGGAAACTGAGATACTTCTTTTTGACCTCTCAATAACAAAGTGTGATGGCTAAAAACACCATTCTTTACTAAAGCTATTTGTTTCATAAACTATAAAAATTGACACTTAAAAGTCAAATATACAGGCTGGGGTTGTGTCTCAGCAGTGGAGTGCTCGCCTAGCATGTGCAGGGCCCTGGGTTTGATCATCAGCACTACATAAAAATAAAGTAATTGTGTTCAACTACAACTAAAAAATAATTTTTTTTTAAAGTAAAACACTTTATTGCTTCAGCTTGATGTTCTGAGAAATTCCTTGCTTTCTCTGTCTTGTTACTCATAGACCCATTTCCTGTTTTTTTTTTGTTGTTGTTTGTTTGTTTTGTTTGTTTTTCTTCATCTATAGTTTTTGGATGAAGAATTGAAGGTAGCTGGGAAATACAAAGGAAATGATTATAGCCAATACTCTCCTTGGTCATGTGACACCATCGGCTCCTACATTGGAACCAAAGATGCAAAACCCAAAGATGTTGTGGCAGCAGGGAGTGTGGAAATGATGGTATGTGTAATGGATAAGCCATAATTAATACAAATCAAGAGACACCAAGTAAATTTTTACTCATTATAGTCTAGACACAAATGATTGAGCTTTGCTTTAGAGTTTCAGATGATAGTCTTCTCTGCCGTTGAACTGCATTGAAACTATATGGTTCTTTTGTTTCATTCAAGTAAAAGTAAAAATTTATTATCTAGACAAAAGAACATATATTGTATTTCTGCGCAGGTGGTAATTTCCCACCAATTATTTAGAACCCAAGCTAAATTGTTTTATGTAATTAAGATTTTGGGCTTCACCAAATAAAATTTTTTACAGCTCTAAAAAACAAAGTTGAATCTAGTGAATAAGAGTGTTATTTGAGTCAGAATTAAAGCTGATTTAGTTTCAAGTGATATTGAAATTTATTATTCTTAAGTCATCTGTTTTATCTTAATTGCCTTTTTATTTTTTAAAGAAATGAAATTTTCCAGAGTTTGTGGCAGGAGCATTGCAAGTTTGAAACCAACGTGGGCAACTTAGCAAGACTGTCTCAAAATTAAAAGTCTGTAATGGTTGAGATTAGCTTGGTGGTAGAGTGCCCTGGGTTCAACCCCTGGGCAAAAAAAAAGATGGTAATCACTTATACACTGGTAGCACTATAAATAAATGGTTTAATGTCTGTAGTATAAACACAAATAGATGACAGCTTCCAAAAAACAGAGATAGGGATATAAAGGAGAACAAGCAAAAACAAGCCTTTAGGTGTTGGGTTTATATAGTTCAGTGCTGTGGTACTTCCCTAGGACTTGTGAGGCCCTGGGTTTAATCCCCAGCACATGCGCGAGCGGCCCTCCCCCCCCCACACACACACACGCTCGCTTGCTCGCTCGCGCGCCTTTGTGTTTTTCTGTGGCACGATTCAGGAAACATTGCATTTAGGCCATAAATAAGCCTTTTCACTGGAATAAGATGAGGAGGTGGAGTTAAGCAGGAACCCTTGTTTTGGACTTGGTGTACTTTCTGAAAGGATTATTACATTAAAAGTACATGCATACTATATTATAACATATATCATATATTAATATTATTATATATGATATTTTAGGTATTACCAGTAAATTTTAATATATTTTTTTAAGTACATATGTGGTGTGGGGTTGTGGCTCAGCTAGCACATGTGCCCCCCCAGCACATGTGAGACCCTGGTTTTGATCCTCAGCACCACATAAAAATAGATAAATAAATAAAGGTATTGTGTCCAACTACAACTCAAAAAAAGTACCATATATGCTATCAAAATAAAGCTAATTTCCCCTAAATCAGTCAAGAATGAAAATGTTCTTAACACAATCTAGGTGTAATCTAGATGTAATCGAAAATCTCCCACAGAGGCGCAAAAATTCTAGCTCATTGTTTCTCAGGCACACTAATCTGTATACACATTACCTAGGAATTAATCTCTCTCTACCACCCCATATATACAATTTGTATGTATAACATTATACATCATATATATGTGGATAAATACATGTTTCTATCAGGTGCTGTGGCATATGCCTGTAAATCCTGGCCACTATAGGGAGCCTGAGGCAGGAGAATTGCAAGTTTAAGGCCAGCCTCAGCAATTTAGTGAGACCCTGTCTCAAAAAAATAAAAAGGGCTAATGGTGTAGCTCATTAGTAGAGCATTTAACTAGTATGTTTAAGGCCCTGATTTCAGTCTACCACAAAAACTATCTGTGTGAGAGTATATTTGTATGTGTGCATACTTGGTCATGATATAAAATATATTTTTGACTATGAGGAGTGGTCATTGGTCTAAAAGACAGTGTTTTATATAAGACACTAAAGATTTCAGTCTTACCAATATGGGCATGATGCTCTAGCCAAGCATAATGGCCCACACCTATAATCCCAATGACTCAAGAGATTGAAGCAGGAGGATTGCAAGTTTGAGGCCAGCTTTAGCTATTTAGCAAGAGACCCTGTCTCAAAATAAGTGAAAAGGGCTGAGAATATAGCTCAGTAGTACACCTGTGATTCACTGCCTAGTACCAACATCATGATCTTTATTTAACCTTATTACAGAACGAGAAGAAATTATGTTAGAGATCTAAGTGTGGGTTAGACTTCTCATTCTGCTTTTTTCATCAGAATGTGGAAAGTAAAGGAATGAGAGACCAGCGATTGGAACTTCAGAGAAGAGCAGTAGAAACCAGTGATGATGACCTCATCCCATTTGGAGACCGACCAACAGTATCTCGGTTTGGTGCCATCTCTCGAACTTCCAAAACGCTATATCAGGGTGCTGGCCCAATGCAGGCTATGGCACCTCAGGGAGCTCCCACAAAATCTATTAACATTTCTGGTAAGAATCTTCAGAGGTATGCTGACCCAAATTAATATTCGTGATTCCCAGTTTAACTCCTCTTCCCTGTTTACTGCCAGTGCTTTCAACAATTTTCTAAGTCAGTAATTTTCAAATTTTTCAAATTTTTATGTGATTATATCAAAATGAACCCAACTAATATATACAATTGTAATCCACCAATAAAAAGCAAAATAGTAATAATTTAAATAGAAGAAAAAATATAAAAACTGAAGGTTCTATGGGAAAGAAACAAATAGCAACACCCTATTTACCATTTTGGTAGATGACTTTTTCGACAGCTTTATAGGGAATTTGTCTATACCTTTTAGAAGAAGAATCAAATCTGCATCATACTACAATAAATTATTCACTTACAGATTACAGTCCATATGGAACCCATGGTGGCTGGGGAGGTTCTCCATATTCACCTCATCAAAATGTAACTTCTCAGGGACACTTCAGTGAGAGGTATGAATCATACTTTTTACTTGTACAGATCTTTAAATTTTCAACTTATTTTGTTTTTTCAGTAAGTAGCATTTTCATAAAATAAAACTAAAATTTATTTCATGCTTTTCCCACAAAAGGGAGCGAGTATCCATGCCAGAAGTAGCCAGTCATGGAAAACCCCTTCCATCTGCTGAGAGAGAACAGCTACGACTAGAATTGCAGCAACTGAACCATCAGATTAGCCAGCAGACTCAGCTACGCGGATTAGAGGTATTAGCCTCTGAAAGTATAGATACTTTTTCATTCCAATCTTTGCAGCGTTCTCAGATTTTAAATGGAGGAACTTTTGAGGTATTATGAACATAAAACTTTAAGGTCTTTTCCTTAAGGATTGATATAGCTGTCCATTCATCAAAGAATTCAGTACTAGGTTTAATTCTGGGATAATAGGAAATGTAAGAAGAGCCACCTACAAAGAGAAAACAGTTTATCTAAATTTCCCAGCAGGAGCTTTTATTCTCTGGTAGTACAAGTTTAAGGTAAATTATTTATCAACAAGTACTTTTAGCTTTAGAAATTTTTAAAATTTCTCTTATTTTATTTAATCCTCAGCTTTTATAAATCTTTGGAAGGTAGAAACTTAGAACTTTAACCTATAATTCCTATATAAGAATATAATATGTTTCATTTATATAGTTATTTACAATTTATAAATTATAATCACACATTCCCCCCAGTGCTGAGGACCCAGCACAGGGCTTCACATACTCACACAAAGTAAGCAACTGTACTACCACTGAGCTACACTCCCAGCCCACTACCACATATCTTATTTGACCCTCATAATATCCTTGAAATGGTAGGCAGGTGGTATTGCCTCCCTCTTCTGATTGTGTGAAATTTTCCTATCATAAAAACAGAAGGCTGGGCTGATGGTACAGTAGTACAGTGCTTGCCTACCATTTGGGAGGCCCTGAGTTTGATCTCTAGAACCACAAAACAAAAATTAAAATGCTGTTTGCTTATGTTGATCTTTAGTTTCATTAAAAGATTCAGGTCTTTGTTCCCACAGGGTGCAGTACTCCTTATCCTCAAATTTATGGCTTTTTGTCTTGTTGGAGTTTCTAGAGCCATTTTCTATATCAAAAGAATATTAGGGGGCTGTGGATGTGGCTCAAGCGTTAGCGCGCTCGCCTGGCATGTGGGCGGCCCGGGTTCGATCCTCAGCACCACATACAAACAAAGATGTTGTGTCTGCCGAAAACTAAAAATAAATATTAAAATTCTCTCTCTCTCTCTCTCTCTCTCTCTCTCTCTCTCTCTCTCTCTCTCTCTCTCTCTCTCTCTCTCTCTCTCTCGGAGGTGGCACACACGTATAATCCCACCAGCTCAGGAAGCTAAGTCAGGAGGATTGTGAGTTCAAAGTTCGCCTCAGCAATGGTGAGGCTGTAAGCAACTCAGTAGGACCCTGTCTCAAAATTAAATACAAAACAGGGTTGGGGATGTGGGCTCAGTGGTCGAGTGTCCCTGAGTTCAATCCCCACTACCCCCAAAAAATAAAAAAAGAATATTACGGGGCTGGGGTGGTGGCTCAGTGGTAGAGCGCTTGCCTAGCATACATGAGACACTGGGTTCGATCCTCGGCACCACATAAAAACAAACTAATAATGTATCCACCTAAAATTAAAGATGCATAAATAAATATTTTTAAAAAAGAAGAATATTAGGATCTAGGGGTATAGCTCAGAATAGAATTCCTGCTGAACATGSACAAGGCCCTGGTTCTATATTTGGCACTGAAACAGAGAAAAGAAGAATATCAGTATTATTTGGAAGCCTACTGAATATTTAACTTTTTATACTTAAAAGTCTTAGTCATTTTTGAGGGTTTTGTTTTGCAGTACTGAGGATTAAACTTGAAGGGCACACTGCCACTGTGTAACCCTGTTTATTTTATTTTTGGGACATGGTCTCACTAAGTTGCCAAGGCTGAGCTCAAACTTATGATCCTCCTGCCTTGGCCTCTTGAATCACTGGGATTATATACATGCCCCATTGTGCCTGGCTGCCGTTCTTGAGGTTTTATTGAGATTGTAGAATTTACCTTACAGAAAATTAACAACCAGTAAAAGGAAGCTGGGCATGGTGCTGCACACCTGTAATCTCAGCTACTTGGGAGATTATAGAGGCCAGCCTGGGCAATTTAGTGAGACTGGGGGATAGCTAATAGCTAGAATCATAAAAGGTAGGGGGAGATACACATTGATAGTTGACTTCTCTTTTAAATAAGAAAGTATGGGGGGCTGGGGATGTGGCTCAAGCAGTAGCGCGCTCGCCTGGCATGCGTGCGGCCCAGGTTCGATCCTCAGCACCACATACAAACAAAGATGTTGTGTCCACTGAAAACGAAAAAATAAATGTTAAAAAAAAATTCTCTAAAAAAAAAAAAAAGTATGGGGCTGGAGTGTAGCTCAGTAGTAGAACACTTGCCTAGCACATGTGAGGCACTGGGTTCAATCCTTAGCACCACATAAAAACAAAATATTGTATCCATCTACAATTAAAAAATAAATATTTTAAAAAATAATTTTTAGGCAGGTGTGGTGACAAACATCTATAATCCCAGTGACTCGGGAGGCTGAGGCAGAAGGATCCCAAGTTCAAGGCCAGCCCCTGCAATTTAGCAAGACCTTCTCTCAAAAAATAAAAAAGAGGTAGGGATATAGCTTAGTGGTAGAGTACTCCTAGGTTCAATCCCTAGTACCACAAAAAAATAGAGTTTATATTATATCTAAGATGAAATTACTATTTATCTAATTTAAATACCTTTTATTTTTTTCAATTTACATGGTACTTGAAAGAGATTGCACCTTATGTTGCATCATTTTTATTGCAAATACATGGGTGGTAAGGTCAAATAGCTGTGGTCTGAAAATGGACTTAGTTATTCTGTTCGTGGTGAAAGTGTGTTGACATATGTATGTTCTTGGCTTTATACACTAGGCCGTTAGTAACAGGCTGGTGTTGCAGAGGGAAACAAACACCTTGGCAGGACAGCCACAGCCGCCGCCGCCTCCTCCAAAGTGGCCTGGAATGATCTCAAGTGAGCAGTTGAGCTTGGAACTGCATCAAGTGGAAAGGGAAATTGGGAAGAGAACCCGGGAACTGAGTATGGTGAGTGTTATGATGAGAAAGAAGAGGGAAAGTGAAATGAAACCTGTGTGGTGTGTCACATGACTGTAGAGTTCTTGAATCATCTGGAGCTCGTCTAAGGCATTCTAATGAGTAGAATAATTCTCATGAAGATGAGCTTCTGCTTATGTTGGATCCTTCCTCTTCTTACTCTCATTTGGTTTGGATRTATTCTTTGTTGTAGGATTCTTTAGGGAAAACATGGTGATTAATTAGGAATTCTTAAATTTCTGTTTAAAATATCAATAGGGAAGGAGATGAGATGATGTTTTTAAGTATTTATTTTTTTTAGTTGTAGTTGTACACAATACCCCTATTTTGTTTTTATATTGTGCTGAGGATCGAACCCAGTGCCTCACACGTGCAAGGCAGGCACTCTTCCACTGAGCTACAGCTCCAGCCCCCAGCCTTTAAGTTATTGATGACCTATTTTTGTGAGTGAGATGCAGTTCACATGTGACTTTTCCATGTTAGTTTTGATGCATTTTCCCCTATGGCCAAGCATTAATTCCTAACAAAGTTTTTTACTGTGTTGTCTTCTTCTCTTTGTTTTAATTTATATTAAATATAGCCTTATGTTTTAAATGATAAAAGTAATATATTCTAGTTTTTTGGTGCTAGGGATTAAATCCATAGCAAACAGGTAGGTTGTACCCATTACACTTTGGTGTGTGTTTTTCTTCTAGTTTGCCTGTTTCCTTGTTCTTTTATAAAACTAAATGTGGGGGCTGGGGTTGTGGCTCAGTGGTAGAGTGCTTGCCTAGCACACGTGAGGCACTGTGTTCRATTCTCAGCACCACATACAAATAAATAAAATAAAGGTCCATGAACAACTAAAAAATATTTTTTAAAAACTGTAATTTCTGGATCATCGGTTTGTATCATCTGTATTAATCTTTCCCATTAGCACCATTAAATACAAGATAACTGGCTTTTATTTCCTTCTGTTTCAAAGGAGAACCAGTGTTCTCTGGACATGAAAACCAAATTGAATACAAGTAAGCAAGCAGAAAATGGACAACCAGAACCACAAAACAAGGTTCCAGCTGAGGACCTTACATTGACATTCAGGTAAAGAAGGGGACATTTTCATAGTCTTATTAAACAAAAAAATATACAAAAGAAAAATAATGCCGCCTATAATCCCAGCTACTTGGGAAGCTGAGGCAAGAGGAATTTACCAAGGTCCTGACTCAGAATAAAAAAAMCAATAAGAGCTCAGTGGTATAGTACCTCTGGGTTCAATCCTCAATATGGCCAAAAGAAAATATTATGTTATGTGGTCATACAAGAATAACCTTTATAAATCTTTTGGTTTGGGCTGGAGTTGTGGCTCAGCGGTAGAGTGCTCGCCTAGCACGTGGGAGGCCCTGGGTTTGATCCTCAGCACAACATAAAGATAAATAAGTGTGTGTCCATCTACAACTAAAAAAAAATAAAATATATATTAAGAAAATCTTTTGGTTTGTTTAGATTTTTGTTTTGTTTTGTTTTTTGGCACCAAGGATTAAACCCAGGGGTACTTAACCACTGAGCCATGTCCCCAGCTCTTTTTCTGTATTTTATTTAGAGACAGGATCTTGCCAAGTTTCTTAGGGCCTTGCTAAATTGCTGGGGTTGGCTTTGAACCCACAATCCTCCTGCCTCAGCCTCTGGGATTACAGGCGTGAGCCACCACGCCCAGCTAACAAAGTTTCTTACTTTGTTATCTTCTTCTCTTTATTTTAATTTATATTAAATATAGCCTTATTTTTAAATGATAAAAATAATATATTCTAGTTTTTTGGTGCCGGGGATTAAATCCAGAGCCTCATGCATAATATTTGCACACTTTAACCCTAAGCTACATCCTTAACACCACTCCTTACATTAAATATGTTATAAAAAAAGTTGTAAGAAATTGAGTTTTAAATCAAGATAACTTTTTATTTTATTAATTTTTTCTTTTTAGATATACATGACAGTAGAGTGTATTTTGGCATATGAAAACATACATGGAGTATAGCTTATTCTAACTAGGATCCTATTCTTGTGGTTGTACATGATGCAGTTATCCCGGTCGTGTATTCAAATATAAGGCTAGGAAAGTTATATCAGATTAATTCTACTGTCCTCCTATTCCCCGCCCCCAAGATAAATTTTAAAATCCTGTGTGGTGAGGCATGGTGGTACACTCCTGTAATCCCAGTAACTAAGGAGACTAAGGTATAGGAGCATTGCAAGTTTGAGGTCAAGCTGGGCAGTGTATCAAGATCCTGTCTCAGAATTTAAAAAGACTGTATCTTAGTGCTTGCCTAGCTTGTGTGAGGTCTGGGTTCAGTCCCCAGTCCTGGAAAAAAAAAAAATTGTTTTTTAAATATATATCACCTGTAATCCCAACACCCAGAGTTAAACGATGTTAAAATTTTTCCTATCTTTTAAAGTGTTGGGAGTGTTTAGCCTGTTGTTTTTGCAAATCTACCCACCTACAACCCTGCCCTCTAGGTTTTGATTGATCTGTCCTATTCATATCCTATTACATCTATGGAAAATATATATCAACTATCCTGAATAATCCTGCAATAAATAATGTTGAAATTAATTGCATACCTTTAATTATTTTATTAGGCTACTTTGAGTCTTTTTGAATGCATAGTCCTGAGTTGACCTTCTGATGACAGCAAGAATTTCTAATACTCTGTTATTTTCATTCTTTGCTTTTGGCTATCTTAAATCCATGTGTTATCTTAGATTGAAAAGTATTTCCTAGGGCTAGGCATATATTCCAGTAGTTAGTGCTTGCTTTGGGCTTGATCCTCAGCACTGCARAAAAATAATCTATACTAGTAAACTCGCTAAATCAGAAGTCAACACTTTTTCTACAAGACCATTTGGTTAAAATTTTAAGGTATGGGCTTTATAGTTTTTGTTGCAGCTTCTAACTCTGCTCTTAATAGTAGCAGACAATATATAAATACATGAGCAGGCTATATTCCAGTAAAATTTTATTTACAATCAGGAAGCTACCTACTTTTATTTTGCCAACCCTGTATTAAAACATGAATGAAGAGCTATAAATTAAAATTTGGAATCCATTTATATATTTTTCTATGGTATTCAATGATGACCCTGATGATTTTATTCTACTAAATAATTGATTTTTTTTCCTCTTCTTTTTAAAAATTGTAACTCCTTTTTTTTTTCTTTCTTTTTTTTTTTTTTAATGTTAACAGTGATATACCGAATGGATCAGCCTTGACACAAGAGAATATCAGCCTCCTGTCAAACAAGACCAGCTCTCTGAACCTATCAGAGGACCCAGAGGGAGGAGGAGATAACAATGACTCCCAGAGATCCGGAGTTACTCCCAGTTCTGCTCCCTAAAACATGAGAAATCCTAATATTCTCTTCTGCTCCTAATCAATTTGTGGAGCATAAGGGTAGAAGAATGGATGACTTCTAAATGTGTTCTCTCTAAGAGTGGTCAGAGAAATCCAGGAAAAGCACCAGAGGCAATGTGCACAAACACCACTACTAAAAACAAACCCTGCACATAGTTCACATTAACGCATTTTTTTTTTTAATTTAAAGAAAAAGAAAATTAGCAGTATCTGCAAGCAATTCAGATTAAATTTGTTTTTGTTCTGTGAATGAACTTTATTTTAATAACTTTGGACGCCTTGGATCCAGGGCTTTAAAAAAAGATGATGATATTATATATACACTCTGTTTGATTAATTGTATGATCTTAATGAAGTAGGTTTTTCTTGTATTTTGGTATTATTACATACCCAGTGTATAATTCCTTACCTCCAGTCCTTTCCAACTCTCACCACTCCTTAAACTAAAACAGACAAAAAGCACTGGCGTTTCTTAGAATTCTGTGGTGCTTGAGAAACAGAGACAATAGACTGAGTTACTAGAAAATGTGCAGCAAACTAAATTTCTCAGACCTGTTATTTAGAATTTTTTCCTTTTTGGATCACTAGGTTCATGGATAAAAAAATGGTTTTTGCTATGACATTAAAACTTTTGTTGTTAACCAACCATTTAGGAGGGTTTTATTTTCAACTTTTAAGAATGAAAATTAACAGCTAAATGTTTTAGCTCCCTGTTAAGGATCCTTTGCATTCTCTTAATGTAATCAGAAAGGCAATTCAGTGTGTCCTTTTTGATGAGATTTAAATGAAGATTAAGAGTGAAATGTAATTTGTTAGCACTAAAAATACACAATTAGTATATTAGCTATTGAGCTCATGGTTGGAAATTTGAAGCTTTTTTTTTATTATTATTAAACTTTGCTAAAATCAGAATGCTCAAAAAAACAGGACAATCATCCATGTTTTAAAATTAACACTTTATTTGAACTTAAACAGGGACACCTTTTTTCAGTAAATGAAATATGGACACATTATTTCTTTTACTCTCAAAACTTACAAAAGCATAAAATAAAACCCCTGTGTACTGGAGCCCTTGGATTTCAAAAAAGATTTGGCAGATATAAAACTGCCTGAATCTTAAGGCTGGTTTGTGAATTGATCACTGGTTGCTATCCCAAATTATTAGCATAAATAAGTAGTAAATATTTTGAAATCAATTTTCATAGATTTGGATTCCAGCCTTGATAAACTTTGTTCAAGAAAATTTTGCAAAGAGGAAGAATTTTTTTTTTAATTTTTAGTTCTGCTGCACATATTCTGATACCCTGAGTCTATACTTAACCCCTATAAAGCATGTTTTGTGGGGATTATTTCACTCTCTCTGTCCACTGTTTGCCTGATATTTTTAGTTTCCCTTTTTGGATTATACTACTAAATCAGAAAGCACTGGTTATGTAATAAGTTACTGCATTGCTTTGGTTGGGTAAAAGCAAACGTTTATATTTTTCTTGTTTCTTATATTCTTAACCCTTAACTCCTGCTGAGGTCATAACAGCCTCAGTCTAAGCTCTGTGTCCATTATATTATTAACTGAAACAAATGGGGGTGGGTGGGAAGGGTAATACAGTCCTGCCATTGCCTACCAGTAGGAGAGTCCAAACCGAACACTCTTTTGAGTAGCGATTATTTAATTTGCCCAGTCAAGGCACCGTGTTTATATACTATTTCACATTGAATTTGATTATGCCCTACAGACCTGGCTGGTCAAGGATTTGATATACACATTTGGCTTGGGATTCGAGCTTTCTTTTTTATTTAAATAAAAATTTATATATATATATTATATATATACATATATACATAGCTATATCTGTATATATATTGGGTATGTTTTAAGGATTTCTTCGCATGAGCGCAGCTGTTGCGATAAAATGACTGATTGGGAGGTAGAAGCACTGAACGAAGGTGAGGCATTTTTTCAGTTGATACATACATTTCCTTTTTTTAAAAAAATACATTCATACATTTGCTTTTTTTGACCTTTTTAAAAATAAAAACCCTATTATATTTACACTTTAAGTACTTATTGTTTATTGGGAGAAGGAAAGAAACTTTTGTTATGTCTGACAGTCTTAAGAATTTTCATTTCTTTATAGAAAAGCCAACATTATTTGCCTCCAACCTCCTGTAGGCAAATTTGGACATATCTTATTTCTCCTTTGGACATGTCAGATAATTCCTAAGTTTTAGAAGCAGTTGGTTTATTTTGGAAGTTGGAATGATTCTGCTCTTAGAAAAGAATTTATGGGTAAAGATTTTGTTGAGGTTAGGAATAAAAGTAAAGTAGTTCCATTCCCCTAGTAACTCAAATTCTTTCATTCTTGTTCTTATTTTCTCTGTATACACTAATGCCTTTTTTTTAAAATGTATTTTCATTTGGGGGCAAAAAAAAAAAGTCTTTTCTGGCATGAATTCTAGCTATAGCCCTTCCTGTCCCCACACTTTAGAGGCAGTCTGCTTGGATAGAAAAGCAGAATGTAGACTATCTTCTTGTTCAGCTGTTTTAAATTGGCCATTCTGCCTTACCTGCTGGAAACTGTTACAGCTTTCCTAGTGCCCTCCAACAGGTTTGGGAATTTATTAAAACCCATAAACTTGGGGGGGGGGACATTTTGTTGTTGTTTTTCTCTTGGATATACTTTGTGTTATGAGGAGCCAGTAAAGGTAAATGGCCTATTAGGGCATAACCACTTGACTCTGTAACCGCTTTTTTATCAAAATCTAAAAAGCATTGATTTTTTTTTCCTGGCTTTTTAAATTTATTTGTGCCTTAGAGACATTAGAAGTGAAACCAATCAGGTAAGAAATATAGTTTTTTGTGCTTCCTTTTAAACATGAGTTTCTTCTGGAGATGATCTTGTGCTTTTCAAAAGCAAGGCTTGGAAATCTCAAATGAACTCCATCAACAGTTCTGAAAGGGTTAAGATAGGAGTAATGAGCATTGTGTTCACTCTTGTTTAGATAACAAAGTTAGATTTTATTATAATGAGGAATAGAAAAAGTGTTTTGGATTATTTTTTCAAGGGGTTTTTGGAAAAGTGTAGAAGAATTGAGAATAAGATGTCCAGGCTCAGTTTCCTATCTTACATGTAGTTTTTTTTTTTTTTTTTTAATTTATAGATATTGTCTAAAGGTAAGTCTAATAGATGCCCTTTTTTGGCTAATGTACAGAGCCTAAAGTGACCAAAGATCTATTCTTTATTTTCTAATTGAGAAGAAGTTAGTTATAGAATAAGTTCCTAGTAGTAATATTACTCCAATGATAATGACACTATTCTTAATGTCAACTACTCAGAATGTATAGAAATTGGTTTGGTACAGCATTAATGTGGGTGATTCCCTTCTCCCATCTTATTTCCCTTCCCTTTTCCTACTTTTCCATGTATTTATTCGTTTGCCTGAAAGATAACAAATTGATATTCTTATTTGCTACTTTGAGTATGTAACTTCATCAGATTTTGCATGGGTCCCCATTGTTGGAGCTCAAAATTTAATTCCTAAGTTTTCCCATGAATCTTTTGTTTTTTTCCCCTGACCCTTTTCCATTCTGCAGTTTCCCCTTGACTTACCCACTGCCCTTCCCAATCTGTAACAGTGACAGTTTGCTGCCTCAAAACAGAGCATTCAAATGAATTCGCTTAGCCAATAACTTCTGTGAAGTTGCCTTTTCTAATGGTGTTATTACTCAGTGATGCACAAATGTGGTATTTGCCCTACTGGTAGGCAAACAGAGGTCTGGTTAAGAATGGTAACCTGCTGTTTTCTTTAAGGGAGAGCCAAAGACTTGTGCTTTACTGTTTTGGTTGGGGGGATGTAGAAACCATTTTGATTGTGAAACCTTTTAGTATTTGTGAATTGACTGTACTGTGTAGATTTATCTAAAGTTAACTGTTAAAGTTAGCTGGCCTTATAAAATGTAAAAAGTAATGGAAATCCATCATTTTTTTCTAAACCAGTGAATGTCTGCTTTTACAATATTGAGTAAGCAACCACCTGCCTTTTTTGAGACTATCTTCTTATAATAGCATCTCCCATGGTTTTGTTTTTTCACTTGTGCCTGAAGGATGATACACTCTCAGGATGGTCAGGTCATGGAACTGGGTAATCTTCCTGAGTATCTGGCTAGTGAGAAATAATTAATTGTAGTCAGATTCAGAGAAAAATAAGATTMTTTTCACTAAAGAGGATTCATTTGCTTTTACATATATATAATATATTTATATATATGTATACACCCATGGTGGTGGATGGAAGTCTCGCTATCTTTTTTCTACTTTTGTTCATTTTTAAAGAACTGAGTAAAGGCTTCATAGATATCTGTAAAAACCACCTATAATGATATTTCATTAGGAGAAATGGCCCAGTTACTTTTAGAAGAAATTAATAACTTGTCTGAAAATTAACTGCAGTGTTCACTTAAACCTTTACCTTAAAAATAGTCCTAGTTTATTAAAATTTTAATTGATGATACATGGTTACAGTGTTGTAAAGTGATCTCTTCCCCTGGAAGTTAAAATCAGAGCTGCCAAGTTAAAAACAGATTGGATTCAGCTTTGGGGACTAAACAGACAAACTGTCTACTGCTGGTGTCATTGTCCCTCATGCCCTCTGGCTGATCCACATCTACATTTCTACCTTGGACAGCTTTTATTTTTATATTTATTGTTGCTTCAGCTCAGCTTTATGAAATTTTTCTGCTGAAATGACTTATTGGGAATTGTAGATGAATTGCAGTTAATTTTTTTTTAATTCTCAATTCCGCTTTTCTGAGCCACTTAAAGCTGTTTTGTCAAAAGGTACTATTTACTATGGTAAATAACTTAAGATTTGAAATTTTAAGATTTTTGTTTTTGTGATTGCTAAAAGTCTTTTCACAGTAAATTCTAATAAGTAATACTAGCTATAATGTTAATTAAGAATAAGAAACTGCCAACACCAGGAATAAGTGACACCTTTTATTAATCAGTAATGTTCCCAATAGGTGGGTTTTCAATACCGCACTGAGCAGAGTGGGTCCAGAGCCCTTTGCAACCATGTTGTGGTTGCAGGGTTACCTCACTACTGGAACCCTGGTTTTCAGAGCTTCAGAGTTTTCAGCCAAACACTGAATTTTCCCTAAATTTTGTCCTGAGCAAAATATCCCTAAAGTAATATTTATTTTCACTAGAAATTAAGGCACAACAACCCAAGGTGGAAAACTTAAACCTGT